GTGTGGGGGAGGGGGAGGGGCGAGGACGTGCCGTGGGCGAAGAATGAGGTGAGGCGGCCACGCACCTGCAGCGTGGGGCCCAGCAGGTCCCCCACCACGCTGACGTCCGCCCGCGCCGAGTCCTCCACCACGTCCGCCGGCAGCAGCAGCCGCCACGCTACGCTCGAGTCGCCGGAGAAATCTGAGGACAGCGCAGTGCACATGAACGCAACATATAGGTGTTCCACAAGGTTTTGTGTTTGATCAAAAAGGCGAGCTTACAAGATAATGTGAGGCATATTGTACAAAGCACTCATCTTTTAATGTCATTGCAAAGAAAAAGCTTGATTCACTCTTAACATTTCGAGGCATCGCACATTTCAATAAAATATCTAAATCAATAGAGTATGCAAAATCGTTGAATTCGCCCTCCTTTTGCTCATGTTTTAAAATGATTGAAGCATAGGAGCTGTAATTATAATTGTACACTAACTGCTGTTGGAGTGTTTCACACAAAACAAAATTTTACAAATGAAATAATTAATTAATTTCGAATACATAAATAAATAGAGTTGTGGCCCTGCGGTTTTCCCTCACGAAGAAAATTCATTTTTTTGATAAAGTTAATCTGTATAACTAATATCGTCCCTTTAGGTATTAGAAATAATATTATTGAAGCTGGACCCACGCAATCATTCTGCACTTTGTAATTAATTGTTTATAAAAGAGAAAATAAATTCAATCGGGATCCTAACTTCGGATTGTCAACCCCGGAACTAAACGTTAAAGACTAAGGGGCTCGTCATGATGATACGTCAATTTAATTGTATTCGTATAAATTAACCCCGCTTGGACATTAAACTAGAGAGACTGACAGTTGAATACCCAGTAATACTCTTCTACGCCTAATGTTTTCATGTGTCTTATATACTTAAGGGCATATTGCGATTCTATTACGTGAAAATACGTAAGTGACAAACATAGATAAATTATGGATGGTGAGTTCAACGGGATCCACCATTCAGTAGTGTGTAAAATAAGTTCAATTTCTAAACAACAGAACAATGGAACCTTGGTTGAACCCAATGCTCCATTGTTCTCTCTCTCTCTCTCTCTCTCTCTCTCTCTCTCTCTCTCTCATTTAATCGATGACGATGGCTGTATGGAAGGAGAGGCGGGTAATGTGAAATTTACTTCTTCCCCCGTACGAGTCCCTACACTAGGCGATTAAATTACCTTAATTTTCTTTGTTCACAATAGAAGCTTTATCTCTTCCGTTCAACGATTGTTCAGTTATCGAATTGTGACAGTTCAAAAATTGTTCAGTGAACAGATACCAACTTAATTAAGCGTGAAGAAGCGGAAGTATGATTTATTGAGTGATAAATACTAAAGATCCGTTTTCTGTGAAAACAGAAAGTGTATATTACAAAAGAAAATCGTCCACCAAATGTAGCAGTATTCAGAAATTTCAGTAAACCTGTAACTCAACTTTGTTTAGATGATTAATGTATAATATCGTTTCGTTATTCCAAGGGGTCACGTTGGTCAACAAAACAAATATTGCAAATATCTATTAATCAAAATTTAAATATTTTCGTTTTTAAGCAAGTAGGAAACCATTTCTATAATTATTCAGAATAAATGGCGACTAACGCATTAATATTAATTATAGCTATACTAGCTAGATGCTACTATACTTATTTTATTTATATTTTATTATGACTATTGTAGTCCCATAGAAACACTCCACGCCGCTAAAAACTTTATAAAAAGCGAGCGTTTTTTTCTTGTCGGTCGCGAACTGTGCCATCGTTTTATTGCCAATGTAGAATTAACGGGAAGACCTGCAGGAAGAAAAGTTGAGAAGAACTACGACGGCTCTTCGTTGACCTCGCCTAAGCAATTAACTCATTTATTTCAGGAACTCTACATAACTTCTTTCTCGAACAGCCCATGCCAACGCTGGGTGACTCATTAATGACGCAGCTAGAGACATCGAAAAGGCACTGCGTGATATGTTGGTCCGGAGGTTGATGCTATTAAGACAACTGCTACTGTTGCGCTCTTCCACAGTACAAATTCAGTCGTCTTTAGGAAAAACCTTCCAAAAAAACATAGATCAAAACATTATTTCAGGTGAAAAAATCACTACCGTCTTTCCCTTAATAATATTAACAAATATTTCTTATGTCATTTTGAAGAGAATCGGTTTACTTCTGCACATCAGCATCTTCACAATTTATTCTTTCCATAACATCCAGAAGGTTGTGCATATAGTTAAGTTGAAGCGCCATTTCCTAGAAATATGCCGAAGATAAAATCTACTCTCTTAAAAAAAGGAAGAAAGCTAAATTTTAAATTTGTCAGAATTGTTCTGCAAACTACCAGAGAACGGTATCTTGCACCCGTTCCTGCCATCACGCCTCATTGTAGGTCGTTTCACACGCTACAACGCGATTCTAGTTATGAGTTATTAGATAAGGTTAAAAATAGCGCTTGAAAATAATTACTTCTATTGAACATGTTCCTCCAACTTTGTTAACTAAACCCTGAGCCTACTTCAACAGCTATTGACTGTCCACAATGCCTTTGCTTGAGGTTTCTACGAGTGTGATTTGCAACACAAATTACTTCTTGCACGACATTTTCAGAGTGAAATGATTATTCAATTAAGGACAATTCATCACACACAAACACACACACAAAGATCCGTTGGAACTATCGGAACTAGACGTTCTGCCAGATCCCACAATATTTTGACTTACAGTTTAAAATGCAATAATAATAATAATAATAATAATAATAATAATAATTCTTTTTTGTACCGTTTTCATCTAATTGATCTTCCTCTGCCAACTGCACAGCTAGAAAGCCACAATTTTCTACAAACATTTTTTAGAACCTTATTTAGGATCGTTGATGACCAAAAATTAAATAAATAAATTTGTTTGGCGCTTGCATATTATAAAAATTTACCTCTGTGTAATAAATAAATAGTCAAATAAATAAAATAAATAAAGAACGTACTTGCGGGGCAGATGTAGGCGGAGTGCGCGCGCTGCACCGGGAAGCCCTCGGCCACCACCAGCAGCGCCTTCACCAGCGCGTCCCTGCGGACAACACGCCCGCTCACGCGCCCGCTTCGCCACGAGGCGAGGGCTGGCGACACCTGCACCTGCACCTGCAGGGTGCAGGACGGCGCCGGCCTGTCGGCCAGCAGGCATCTCCCACCAGCGTGCCACCGTCCCGGCCGGGACCAACCCTCAGTGTGTGTAAGGAAGGGGTCAGAATAGGGCAAGGAAGAGGAAGGAAAATTCGCACGCGCTCCGTGGACCGTTTCTTCGGGTACTTGCTCTGGCATTCCCCGGATATTGATAGGAGAAGCCATGCAAAACTGACGGATCGGAGCAGCCGGCCGCTAGAATTCTCCTTCAGACAGCGACGGAATTCGACCTAGCTCTCTAGCTAGTGTCGAAAATCCTGCCACCGTCAGGACTCGAAGGCGTGACTGCAGTGACGTCAGTCAAAGCCCTGAGCCATCTTTGCCCGACACAAGCAGATGAATCAGGAGAGATGGAACAGAAGGAAGTGGCGTAGTACTCAAGGGGAAAATAATTACATTTCTACATAATACGCCCATTCATTCATAATGCTCACGTTTTGTAGCACAGAGAAAGAAAACGGGTAACAGGGTTATGATGTAACTGTACTGCAGGCCTTACCCTAATATAGCCGAGGAGATGAACTTTTTTTTAAATTCATGCGACAAAGTTCTTATGAATATATTAATATAATTATTTCCAAAGAACACCAATTTTAAATAACTTACCGTTTTCGGATAAAAAAATATTTCTGTTTGGGTTTCCTGCTGTTAGGTTTCGATTTCCAAACACTGCTAAACGGTTTGCGAATCGTTTTACAAATGATTTCAAAATTTATGACAATTATATAGAACATCTACATATCGGTGGTTCCAGCAATATTTTTTATGAAATAATAACTGCTTCGGTTTAATCCTTACTTTGGTAACGGTTTCGAATTCATACGTTGTGTAATCGTGTAAATATGAGTTTTTATGTATTTACGTAAATATGTTCGTACCATTTTCATCTTGCAAATTTTTCTTCGTGCTCGACAGGCTCTTTTTTTCAGCTTGCGATCACAAGAAATCTAATAATTTGCAATGTCAAAATAGTTTTGTTCAATTTCGAAGCTATATAAATACCTCAAATGATTCATAACAAGAACTCAAAGATATATAAAAAATAAGATAATAAGAAAACAAAGTATTTATTATTAAGAAATACATAATTTGAGAAATAAATAAAACGCATTTCATTTTTTATATATTTTATCTCAATGATTGCTTTTAACTTGCCTCACATTTCAAATTTAATTTTGAATGATCAAAACGATACGAGTTCAGTTTTCTGTCAATGCGTATTCCGTGTATAAAAGCGGAACTTACTTATTTTCTACATTAAATCTTTATAATCCATTCCTTAGCCAATAGACACGAGGCTTAGGTATGTATCAAAATTGTACTCTGTTAAGTTTTGTCTATTCCGTTCAATTGTTTCTCCTTGACCCCACATCTGCCTTAGCTTTGGTCGTAGTACAATCACACAACAAAGTTTACAACTGAAACGCAAACTCTCGTGTTCAAACCTCCATTCTCCTGCCTGTCACTGACCTACCATCACCGCATCAGACGCCGCGCAGACACTCCTTAGTCACGAAAGTTCGTCAACATTCGTCGTGGGAGGGCGTGGGCGCGCTGGTCCTTGACACTTGGACGCCGCTGCCCCGCGTTGACCTCACCCGCTCATTAGCATGACCGCGAGTGTCGTCACGTGGCCACCCGGCCGCCTCCTGCGGCGTGCGAGGCCGCGGTTCCGCCGCCAGGAACCCGAATACGCGTGGGCGAGCATACTAGCCGCGCTGGCGCGTGACTCACGCTGCGTCAGCCTCCGCGCGCCCCGGCCGGAGCGAACCTCCAAATCGGGATCATCATCCCATCTAAGGATCACGAGGGTCCAAGATTCGGGCACGCTGTTTTTAATGAAACTATTTTATACAAGCAGTAGAACTGACTTAACGACCCACTTAGGCCTTAATCTTACATTAGTTCCTCTTTTTCGGCATATTTCTATGCTTTGCAGGCTTATTGATTCTGGATACGTGATTTGTTTATTATATTGTAGGGTTAATTGTGAATACGTAAACAACAATACTTGTAAATATTTGAAACACATTCCATGTTGATAATTTGAAGTGGATCAGGTAACATGAATAGAACTAAAATCGGCCACAATTGAGTGGAAATGAAGCCCAATCATGAGCTTTCCTTGTTTTGGTTCTATACGCTCAGTTTCATTTTCCCTTAGTTTAGGTCACTGCAATAAATGAGAAAGTAATTATCGGTTCCGATTTACCACGGCGGATCGAGGGTAAATGTTAACATGATGTTCTACTGAAAATTCCTAGACTTTCTCCAGGAGAGAGATACGGCAAACGTATATAAAAATTTGGGCGTTAAAAAATCTATTTGATTTTAAAATATCAGTCAAAATCCAGAAATAAAAAATCTGTTTCTGTCTACCTTTACATTATCATATTATAGGATGCAAGATAAAGTAATTAATGATTGCTTTTAAGTTTAATATTTCATATTCCCTAAGACGCAAAAAAGGCACGCTGAAATGTACAAATTCCATTCTGTTTTTAGAAAACAACACACTCGCATATTATCACAAATCTGGCCAGTCATTTTGTCAGGAGTTAATCCAAAATACTTCACGTGCGTACAATCGATTTCTTTAGATGAAGTATAATATGTTTCCGGAGGAGATATTTCTAAACCAACAAAGGAAAGCTATTCAAAAAGTTCGTGAATATCAAATATTTATATATTAATTAATCTGCTGATTATCTACTAGATATATTTGATGATTTTACACATCATGCATCAGTTATTATATTTATAATAATAATAATAATAATAATAATTATTATTATTATTATTATTATTATTTAACTGATACTTTAAAACAATTTTGTACAACATTGCTTCCAATTAAATCTATCTTAAGTTTTTTCATAATAGGTTTTATTTACAAAGACGACTCAAGAATTGTAGAATTATATATTCAACGTTATATGCTTGTAAAATTATAATTCTTGTTCTAGTACTATTAATTATGTTTTAAATTTAATACGAAATCTGAAACAAATGTTTGTGTCAGAAATTGTCATTTTCGATATAACAAAAACTTTGAGATTTCGTGTCTATATCTAAGGGCTGTTAAATATACATATACTTTTCATGGCGTTTAAAATACTAGGTGAGCAAAAATGTCCTTGATGTTGTTTATTTCAACGCGAAACTTGCGGAAACTAGCTTAACAGTCGTTGCGTCTCTGCGCAGATCAGCCACTTTAACAAGTCCTGTCTCTAAGAGATAACTAAAGCAGATGTTTGGATGCCTGAATCATCCAAGAAGTTTACCATTCAATGTTTTCTTAACGGTACCAAGATATATTTCAGAACTTAAGCTCCAATGGTCAGCCCTATATTTGTGGTGTAACATTTTCCGTCAAGACTTCTTTTCAATGGTTTTGAAGCGAGTAAAGAGGTACTATATGTTCTATGAAAAAATGTTGGAGTTTGCAACACAACGCATCACGACGACATGATAATGTTTTAGTGACAAAACAATGATTCTGATCTTTATAGAATGGTCACGAAGGCAATAAACAACATTAGAAGCACGATCTTCTGAAAGAAGAAATTGCTTGCAGCTGCATGTCTCATTTTATTTATTGAACTCTCATGAAAGAATCCTTATATCCCGCATAAAATTAATTTCATCTTATTACCTCCCATTTTGTAAGCCTAACTTTTTCAATTAACTGTGACTAATTACTTTTCCGTCCTTCATTTTTTACGCAATGAAGATACAAGAAATTAAGTAAGAATAAAGAAACATTTCGCTACAAATAAAATTTTCATCCATTTCTCTAAAATTATTCCATGGACAAATATTTATCAATAACTGAAGAATACGAGCGTTAATGCTGAAGGACAAATCTTACAGAAAGGAAGTAAACAAGCTGAACGGAAGAGTCTAAACAAATTGGAATGAAATACTATTACTATTCATTACAAGATGGCATTAAAATTTAAATATTTCAATGCAGAAGAAAAAAGGAAACCGCCTAAAAGAGTTGTGAGGAGAGAAATGATTGAGACAATGAAAGAATAAACAAATATTTGCACAAAAGAAAGAAAATAGAGGGGAAGCTCACAAATAATTAAACTAGTGGGGCTACAGCAGCACATACTTTCTCGCATTATCTTTACCCTTTTGCAATCTTCGAAAATTCAGAGAGGTCAACGAAAGCGAGACTTGCACCATTCTGTAAGCGCCACTTGTTTTATTAGGGGAAAAGGTAAGAGAAAAACATTGAAGCTGCTTTTGAGAACATATTTTCACAAGTTGCATTAATTTCAAGCAGAAATTGACGATAACTACTCTTTTTTTTTCAGAAAATTGTACATGAAATTTTTTAAGGATATAATTTTTTGAATAGATTTTGATAATGGCAAAAATATCCATCTTCAAATTTGTATTTTTCCAATTTTTCGAAAATATCTAGGGTTTACTGGAAATGGGATTAGACTTTTACCGTCTTTTCATACATATGAGAAGAAAATTTAGAGAAAAAAATTGAAGCTGTTTTAGAGAAAATAATTGTTGATAAGTGCCTAAATTACATACAATATCTCTTGAAAATTATTCAAATTTTCATAAAATGAACACTGCGTTATTGAAGGATCTGTCTTTGAAAAACATATTTTATTACCGAAAAAAATCACTATTTTTAATATTGTATTTTCAGGAAGACGCCGAAAATCTTGATATTATGCAATTTTGGAAAAATTTTCGAAAAATCAAGGATCTGAACGAAAATGAGGACTCAATAATTTTTAAGCGTCGTTTACTCTCTCCAAGAACAAAGTTTAAACAAAAAATTTAGAGCAATTTTTTTTGAAAATTTTGGAAATATTACCGTTTTTGAAAAGTACCACCAAAAATCAAAATAGCTGCTTCAAACTCAGAGGGCCTCGAGTTATTTTAAATCAGTCGGGAATATCAATTTTGGAGAAAAACATCTGGACGATTTAGACGCTACCGTTCACCTCAGAAACGACAGACGGACAGATGAATGGACAGACAGACGTTTTGCCTTCAGTCGATTTTTCGTTATCAAAAACTGGATTCTGACTACACAATGTATTAGAGGAAGTAATTTAATATATATGCGAAAAATATTTATCGACTTTGTCGTTATCAGGGCTCGCCAATAAGTTTTTCTTCCTAAAAGCCGCCGTTTTCCGGCTCACAACAACTACAGTTGCTCTTCTTACGAAATAAGGAAGGGAAAATAAAATTGGTAGGTGTCCCCTGAGAGAAAATCACAGAGAAAATAGGAACCGATTCAATGGTTAACTATTTATAGTAAGGACTATGAAAACCTGATATTTATAAATTTTGCCTATCAATCGTGCCCCCTGTCTCGGCTTTATGGATATTTGTGCCCCGGTCAGGGTTTTGATGATACATTCTGAGAAGTCCTCTATGCAATGTTTTTCAGGAACTTTTAATATTAATAATAATAACAAAAATATTATTATATAATACTTATAATTAATATATACAATAATAATAAGTAATACTTATATTAATAATTATTATATTAATAATTATTATAATAATGAGACCCCTGACGGTTGCGGCAGCCATCGTCTGCACTGAGGAGGCTGCACGTTCGCGTTCTGAGTAGACATGGTCGTACTTGTGATTGTCCTTTCAACCTTCATCATCATCCTATCACCTCCTAATCCATAATTCAAGGCGTAACAACTTTGTCTTACCAAGGGATACAGCAAAAAAGTTGATTTTCATAATGACACACGTTAATCTCTCTGGGATAAATATGACTAGGCTTCGGAAGATAACGAGAAACGTCATAAATGACCCCGATATGCATATAATAATAATAATAATAATAATAATAATAATGATAATAATAATGATAATAATGATAATAATAATGATAATAATGATGATATAATTCACCTCTGCGCCAGCACGAAGTCGGGCCCGCAGCGCTCGGGCAGCAGCGGCTCCACCTCGGCCACCACCGTCACGTTGAGCAGCCCCACGTCGAGCGCGCGCACGCGGAAGCTCAGCACCAGGCTGCTGTTGGCCTCCACGCAGCCCAGGCCCTCCGAGCTGTTGGACAGCAGCTCCAGCCCCGGCGTCGGCGCCAGCGACACGCGCACCTGCGCACGCCACGGCCCGCTCACCACTCTCCCGCTCGTGACTCGCCCAACGTCACGTCTCCCACTCCGTCTCCGACTACCACGTTCCCATGCGACTCCCACTACACGTCATACTCCACCCACTGCCACCCATCAGTCCCACTCACGACTCCCACTCACGACCTCCACTCACGATCCCACTCACGACTCCCCACTCACGATCTCCGCACTCACGACTCCCCACTGCACGTTCATTCTCACACTAACAGTTGCGAGGTCGTATGGTTTTTGGGGGCGTTAATTGTTCAATTTCGGCAATTGCTTGGAGAACGATAATAAATAATGCTCTGGATTTGGAGGCGAAGGTACTCCTACGAGCTCTGTGGCATTTCGGAAAACAATCAGAACAACTAATTGAATTGAATTGAATTGAATTTGCCTTATTTTTTACGTGGCGAGACTCGGGGCATCAGGCCCGCTCTTCCGTCTGACCACGCAAATTTCGCTACGCTCAAGAGAGAAAGGAGGTATTTTCTTGGGCGAAGAAACAGGGCGATCTGCATTTAGAGGAGGCGTTCATATTAGGCTTGAGGGATCTTTTACATGCAAGTAAATCTACGAACATGGGACAGCGGCTTTACTTCCCCTCCGAAGGAAGGCGTACGAAGGATTTTTTCGCCCTTAAAAATCCACGGCTTCGATCGGGTTTCGACCCGCCAACTTGGGTACAACAGTCCAGTACGCTAACCGTTACACCATCGCCGCCGGCACTAATCTCCTCCACATAACGGTTAAAGTCTACCTAGCTAAAGAGCTAGAGTCGAAGATTCACCTCCGCAGGGATTTGAACCCTAGGACCTGTCGGTCGCTCAGTGACTCTTCAGCGACAATAGTACCACTGAGTCACCTCGTCCGTTCTTGGCAGCGCTTCGCTCTTGCATCACTTCAGAGACGTTGTGGATTTTGTCGAAAGAATGAACAACTTAAGCAGTTACTTTCATCGCTTAGAATTTTTTACAGGCGTGTCCGACACGATGACGAGCATATATTGAATTTATTATCACTAATACCGAAGAAAATTTCAAGTGAAACAATATTAGTATACTATTGGTTTTGCAATGTTTATACTATATTATCAGCTTAATATTTGCTTTACAGTATACCAGTTTCCAAATGAAGGGTATAACGACGCAAATGATTCTTGTCGTGTAAGGCACAAGTGATTGTTTGGCTCACCGGCAGGCTGTGCGGCAGGTAGTTGAAGAGCGAGGCCTTGAGCACAAGCACCTCCCCTCGCTTGACGGCGTAGGGCAGCGCCAGGTCGAGGAAGAAGGCCTGGAAGGCGGTGATGTGCGCGGGCGGCGACACGCCCAGGCCCAGGCGCGGCGCCACGCACGCCACGCGCGCCTCCCACTGCGTCACCGAGTCCGGCACGCGCCGCCGCACGTCCAGCGACGTCGCGTTCCTGCGCGCACGCACGCCGCGCGCACGCGCTCAGCCGCCGCTCAGCCGCCGCCCTGCGCCTTCAACCCTCTGTTGTCATGCACGCGTGCAAATACTGCTACCACTATGGTGGCGACAGAATTTCAGTCCGACATGTGAGTCACTGAGTGAGTGAGTGAGAATTTCGTGTTTCCGGGCGCTTCAATTACTTTTGGCATTAATTCCAGGTGAATAGTGCATATTGAAGCCGAAAGATGGTGTTTCTACCCTACTGGAATATGGTATTCGGTGTTATATACGTCGGCTTTGGGAGGAGGGGTTTCAGGTATCACAGCGGGGCATTCGCGCATTCGCACAGCGGGGTATTCAGCGGGGCACTGCCCCAGGTGGAATAAGTTTGAAGCTCCCGACTGCCCTTCGATCTGTGGTACTGTATGTGAGTTTGAAAGCGAGTGTGCGTGTGTGTGTGTGTGTGTGTGTATATGCGCGTGTGTGTGTGTGTGTGTGTGTGTGTGTGTGTAAAAGAAGAGGTGAGGAAAAGTAGCAATGATAAAAGATCGTGTAGTTCGTGGCCTATTTGTTAGAGTACTATTCCAGCATTCGCCTTGTATAGAATGGAGAAACACCGGAAACTACATAACAGCCAGGAGCTAGAATTTTGGATTAGATTTAGATTTATATAGTAAAAAAACAGTAAAAACTGTATGTGACGTATTACGGAGAAGATCATCAGTGCACGTTTTCTTGCGGTACGGAATCACTTCTCATCATTTTAAGTATAAATAGTTGAAATAGGAGTATAAGGTAGAGATAAATAAATCAATTAAAATGAAATTAAAAATAGAGGGAAATCAGCAACATTTGAAAAACTAGATATTTTCGTTCCGAATTATAGAACACTTATTCAATAAGATAATCAAACTGCAGATATGATTTTTCAGCATTGCTAACAAAATAGTAACTCCCCTTACCTCTCATCCTAGCACATCAGGTAAAAGAAGAGTTCAACAAAACGTGCGCATAGTGCAGTTACATTTACATTAAGCAAAACAAGGGACCATCTCAGCATTTGCTCAATGTGTCAGGGAAACAGGACAAAAACCTGATCGAGATGGGATATTCCTCCATCGCCTGAATTCGACCTAGCTGTAAAGTTAGAGACGAAATCTGTCACCGCAACTTTAGAACCTCCCTGTCAGAGATGCTGCAGAGACTACAGTTGTTTGGAACACGAATGCAAAATATTCTTCGTAATATTAATAGCTACATTAGGGCCATATTTATCTTATTCGATTTTCTTCCATATTAATTTTTTACTGGACTGGAAAAGTTTTTGCCTTTTCCTAAATTATCAATGTCCATTTTGTATTCAACTGAGTGATGCCTTATTTCAAGTGGCCATGAAGCCTGCACTTCCGCCGACGAAGCAAATTTCGCTTCACTCCTTTCGACATCTACTAACGAAAGAACGGGCAACGAAACAGGTGATAAGAATTTAGCTCAGAGGCTTGAGGATCTTTTACACGCAGTAAATCTACAACACGGAACCGCCGGCTTTACTTCCCCTCCGCCGGAAGGCGTGCGAAGGATGTCTCACCCCATGGGCAGCAGCTCCCACAGCCAGGTCTCGGGGAAGTGCGAGCGCAGCGCAGCGCCGCTGAGCATGGGCTGCTGCGCAGAGGGCGGCGGCGGCGCCGCCTCGGCCTCGGCCTGCTGCTGGCGGCGCTGCAGCGGCAGCCCCAGCGCCATCCCGCGCGCCGCGCCCCCTGCAACACCGCGCCGGCGCCCGCGCCCGCGCTCTCAGCGCAGCCCCACGCGTGCGACCCCAAACGCTTGCCACGCATTGAGAAGCCCCGGGAAACCCGGAGAGCTTCTTATTTCATTGTTTTTTTCTCATTTTTTACATTTAATTAAAGGTTCAGGAAAAATATATACCACTTTGATGGTTTGCGCTATATTTTTTGGTTTAATTTCCCATAGAATGTCCACCTTGGTAAACTTATTTTAACGTTTACTGTTTACGACCTACATTGATAAAATCTACTATTTATGAACACTCTTATCAATGCGATCGTGCTGAAAAGGACGAGTTCGTCTGGTCAACTGCAAGAAGGAAATTGTTTGTCGAACCTTGTCTTCATTTCTTTTTGGTAATGGCTGGATCGCATGTTCATTTGCAAATTTGTAGCTGCCGAAACAAACTGGAAATCACGGAAAAAGAAATGAAGTACTAAATTTTTCATGTAGTTTGTGCACTGGAAAGCTTCCCAGCTCTCCAAATATTTTGGGGGGCTTCACAATCGCTACCATCGATAGGAGGCCTCTGCCCCCAACAGTATTGGGTAATCACCCAATATCAACCTGCTCCCCAAACCCCAAACTTTCACATGAGCTAGTAATTAACTCAATAGGTAGTTCGGAGGCTTCAAACTTGGTATCAAATGTTAGACGCTCTTTATATCATACATCTTTTATGCAAATTTTAAGTTTCAGCATTTATCATATTTTTCAAAATTTTGCACGGTAATGTAAACCAGGTTCGGTAAAATGTGAATAAATCCAGGTGCTTCCCGGACATTGCAATGCTCACTGACGTATCAACAGGAAGAGCAACGCAAAGCAAACGCATTTAAAAGAAGTTAAAAACCCTCCTCATGCAAATCGCGGTGACCAACATATTCGCAATCGACCTCCAAAAACCGTCCTTCACATACAAGTCTCTCCGATAATCCATACTTTACTGAAATAATCTTGGCTGAATGCTTTTTCAATACGACCCAAAATTTATTTTAGATGATATTTTAACATTGACTCAAGAAATCGATTTTACAACATACCATCTCCATAATGTTGTTGCTATCCCTAATATTTTTCAATGTTTCCAACCACAAAAAACATTTTTCTAAAACCCCTTCAAACACCCCTTCACACTTCTTAATATACGATTATTTATCTCGTTAATGAATTGTTAAAAATATTTGTACTTTCATGAATTCCTATATTTCTCAGTTGAATTGTCTGGTTTATTACCAATATTTATTCATTTCTTTAAAAATTCATTCTCCACCATACCCTAACAAATTTAAAATATCATTCTTTTTCTCACCTTTGAAGTGCAGGGTGTTAGCGCCTCCTACCAATCCCGTGGGCCAATGACATGGTCTTGTCTCCAGGACTTGATCGGTCAGCACCAATATCCCAGCATCCTAGAACAAAATATGTGTTACCTTTACTTTTATATTTGCCTATAGATTACACATTTTAAACAATTCTACACAGATTAAGAGTGTGAAACATTTCAAGCATTAATATTTAAATCTGAAAAAATTAAAATAATGGCGCGAACATCTCACCATTATTTTCGCGCACTTTGAAAGTTGTAATTTTATTCCGACATAGTTTATCAATCTCAACAGTTCTAAACTTCTTTGGTAAATGGTACTCTAAAAACTTATTACATGTTACGATAAAATAACATATCTGCCGCTTATTATATACTGGAGGGAACATCAACATTTAGTTATATTATGAAATAAAAGTTTTAAAAAATTAAAGAGTACACTTATTTTTATTTATTTATTAAATGTTAGTGTAGTATTGTATATAAGCGATAGTATATCATTGTTTTATGAAATTATACATTTCTAAATTAATAACATTTATGTTGAACATGATATTTGACTCTCAAAATTCAGAATGGTAATACAGACTTAAAAATTCGTCCTGAGACCCAAATATTATTGAAAATAATACAATTTAATTATTCTAAACATTATATTTACGAAATATTGTAAATTAAGACTGTTATTAAAGTTGCATAAGCATTGCTTCCTTATTGTAACATTATTGTATAATGTTTAGTTTACGTAAATATTACAGGTAGTTTCCAATTTTTAATTAGTTTTTTAAAGTTTTTCCACAATTGATTAAGCCTCAAAATAATTTGTATACTCATTTAATTTTGAAAATTGGTAAAAAATCAGGACGTATTTGCCCCATACTGCTGGCACTAGGTGGTTGACATATCGACTGTGGCGAGCCAGGTTCCAGCAAATGATTAGCCTGGAAGCCCCGTCTTGCATCGAAGGACGCAACTCGACGAGAGGTTAAGTTGCTGGCACCTTAATTCCATAGAGCCCTAAAGTTTCAAGCTACCATAGCTTCAGATTTCGTCCCTTTGTGGGGGGTGGGAATGCACACATCGTAACTCACGTCGAAGGACCTGGAATTGTGCGGTCTTCGTGACCACCTTGGAGGCTGGGACGCCTCACGTCGGCTCTGCGTCGCCTCCGCGAGCGCCGCCAGTCGCCGCAGGAGTCCAGAAGGCCGGCTTCCGGAGTCGCTGGCGGCCGCCGTCGCCGCCCCTGGGCTTCAGGTCGCTCAGCGGCGCCGCTATCGCAGCATTTCGAACGGCGACGCCGGTCGTCGTTGGTTCGTCTCGTAACAGATTTTTGGCAAAGCCTCTGACCGGCAAATCACTACGTTTCACACACTCCCCTACAACAATAACACAGTGTAGTTTCGTCTTCAAGTGAGTAACACAATGAACTAATACATCTAGGGGTCGTCCATAAATTACGTAACGCCAAAGAGGGAGGACGAGATCTGAAGCAGCGTTACGCCACGTTACATAGGGGTAGGAGATATTAGTAAAGTGTTATGTAACAGTGATATTTTTTATTTACATTTTTCAACATATAAGCTGAAATAATTCCTTCCTTGAGTCCCGAACCAAAACATTAAAATATTAACTAATTAATTTGTTTTAAAAACATAAATAAACTGATTATTAGCTGTAAATTGTTACAATAAATGAAAATATTTTTTCTACTTTCTTCTGAAAATGTAATATTACGAAGAAAATATTCCAAACTGATATGAAGTATGTTCTAGAATCCTTATAAATTATTTTCACTTCTTGCATTTACAAGGGGATGGGGGGCTTGCCGCAAGCGTTACGTAATTATTCAGGGGGAAGGTTTCGATCGCACGTTACAAGGGGAGAGGAGGCATTGAAAGTACTCCAAATTTGCGTTACATCATTTATGGACGGCCGTTAGTTGCTTTCAACATCTAGCCTGCTATTGTTCGTGAATATTTAGTATTTTAAGGTGCATTTACTACGGTTTCTCTCATGCCCTCTTCCCAAGAAATCCCCTTCACTTCTCACTACCTGACAAGGTATAGCCCGATTGCATGCCTTTCGGTATTTTGAGACAGGGATGTGCAAACAATTTAGTTAAGTTTGTATTCTGAGTAACGCAAATATGCTATTGCACCAGCCGAGAGAAAACCTCGAACACAGAGGATCGTGGCAGAATCTTAGGAAACGTATGTAATTAACTAAAATATAATTATTGTAATTGTGCATATTTTAAAGAAAGACCATGGTCTCCATTTTTACCCTCTTCGGAGCAACCCACGGAATTCGTAGAATTCAGTTTCAATAAATTAAGAACATTCGATAGTTTAAATCCAAAATAACAAACTTTCTTTACAGTACAATACAAGAGTAATAGACAAGTTAACAACTTTAAAAGATAGTTTGTTCTAATTCTCTTTCGTGTTCTTCGAATGTGAAAGCGAAAAGGCGATCTTGGAAGCACTGGGGCTTGCGGGAGTTCTTCCTTGTACTCACGAAGAAAACCGAACGGGATGCAATCGGGCTATGACTTTTTGGGGAGGTAGGTACGAGGCTTCAGGAAAAGTTGTCTGCGGGATGCAATCGGGATACGCCCGTTCACTACTATGATCATTATCCTCGTAAGTGTAGTGTATGTTATACCCGGGAGGTGGCTGTGAACCTTTCCCACTGAAAGGTGAGATTCGGCGCTGATTTGCGAGTTGTATTGCGAGTTCTGTTTTTCTCAATCAAATATTTTCGCTAGTAAATTTTGACTTATTCAAGAATTAAAATCCCGTTCCGTTCAAATCGATCATACACTATATGCTGCTGTTAGCCCCTTGATCAAGAAATATTCTCAAAAGACAAAATGTATGTGATTGTTCGTACACACATGCCGCGCCTCCTCATTCATAACCAACTGGCCGCCTCTGATGTCTACTACTATATCAGAATGCGTGCGGTTACACACACTATAAGCAATGATAGTAATTTAACAGCACAGTTTCTACACGATTTACTGTAAAACTACCGCAAGGAATAAACAGTTGCACATTTATTCATGCGTTCAAATCGTTAAACATATTAATATCGTATATGAATGTGAATAAAAATGTGATTTAAAGATAATATCGATCATATCATCTACAATAGAACTCGTTCTTATACTATTGAGTCATCTCTCTTGAAATCTACGAAATAAAACTTCGTAAATTTGTCCATATTGTGGGGCGAGGGAAGAGGTTACAGGGAAGAGGTTAGGTTCAGTAGTTGGCCGCCCGCTTCTTTGAGAAGAAGGGACAGTTCCTATATACAGAGAGTAGCCTATTTTTTTCTGCCGCCGATTCCGCCATTTTATATAGGCCTTCTGTTGTCAGGAGAGTTCAAATTCACGATTTTGTGTGTGTTCGGAACCACTAGTCTACACCAAATCAGTATTAATATACTTTAACATCTCTACCATGTATTCAATCGTTATAATTTCTCTGTTTTGATAGCAATACTAAAAAATCAAATCTGCAGTTCGTTTACCGACACACATAGATTTTATACAACTTTGGGGGCGGAAAAGTTATTCTTTGTTGGTACTTTTATTCATTTTTCAACAAATGATGGTTCAAAGATGGGGGAGATATAATAAGAAAAGGTCCCAGAAAGTACTTCTCCCCCAAAAGGTTTTCCTGCTGTTTGCCGAAGGGCAGGCGACATGCGTGGTGGACTCACTGCGCGCGCAGTAGTCGACGTCGTCGGCCTGCTTGGGCAGGTGGTGGGGCTCGATGTGGAAGGGCGCGAGCGCGGCGAAGGCCCGCTGCTCGTCCAGCAGCGTGGAGGCGCCCAGGGCGGCGGTGGCGCGGTCGGTGGCGGCCAGCGCGCACAGCGACTGCGGCGCCGCGCGCACGCGCAGCGTCGCCTCGCCGCCCGGCAGCTGGCGCGTGCGCAGGAACGCCGCGCGCACCTGCCCAACGCGCGACCTCTTACACACACTCACCCACTTATTGACTTAACTTGCTTACTTATTTACTTATTATTGTTTAACTGCTTTACTTACTTATTGGTTTAACTTGGCTTTACTTATTGGTTAACTGCTTCTATTGGCCTTAACTTGCTTACTTATTGCTTAACTTGCTTACTTTATTGGCTTAACTTGCTTACTTATTCTTAACTTGCTACTTATTGGACTTAACTTACATATTGACTTAACTTACATATGGACTTAACTTACATATTGACTTAACTTAACATATTGACTTAACTTACATATTGACTTAACTTACATATTGACTTAACTTACATATTGACTTAGCTATAGAGTCATCACTCATCTAATTAAACATGTCAACAAAAAACTTTTTGTCATCTTTTTAAGATCCAATATCTGTTTTTTTTTAATATTTAAAATACAAGGATTACAGAAATGACTTCCATGTTCCCGTATCACATCAAGTTCAAAAAATACATTTGAAAATCTTTATATCTTTAGCCTGAAAATCTGAAAACATTGTTTAATCAACACTAAATTGAGAACTGAAATACAGTTTACTTTATATAATTCTTTTTACCTCAGAGTTAAGAAAATGAAACACAAACTTAACGGACATTTTTTTACTGTTCTTATCATTGTTTTTACGCGTATTTGCGCTCAATAGAACCGTTGTTGCTTAGACAAAAAACTTCATGTTATTAGTAGTTATTTTGTGTATCATAATCTCGTTGCAGTTACCAACAGTAGTCAGCTATCACTGATGTATTCCACCGCCCTTGGAAGCTCCTTTCAATGTCTTTAATATCTGGGGGAAGCCCCTCACCCTGTTCGTCTCTCACTGCTCCCAAGGTTTCTGGGAAGCAGTGTAAATTGGAGTGAAGGAAATGCACTTTCAGACTCACGTTACATCCTAAGACTTCACATTTTCTCAGCATAGTATTTACATAATACTCATAGATTGGATCATCATAATTTACCAAGAACTTATCAACTACTTCTTTGAAGCCAATCGGAGTTTCCCTTTGCGGAGGAGTCACGCATGCTTCAAAACATTCATCTTTAGCTAGTTCTCTGATCTGCTGACAGATTTTGAAAAATGTCACAAATTATTGGGACGCTATTTCTCTTACAATCTTGCAGTCCTCCGAGACCATCAAATGGCTCTATAAAATATCACTTTGTATCACAAAGCCATTATGTTTTGGATATTTTGAATTAAGAGCAAAAGTGGCACAACACTCACAAAAACGTGGACAGCAACGATTGTATCGCAGCGGCAAAGTCGGGGAAAATTTACACTAAATATTTACTTCACAATTACAGTAGCTGCGACAGACTGTCGCGAAGGTCTGAACAGTTTGCTAAAGGGACCAGTCACCTCGGCAACTAACATGTTGCGCTGTTCTGAGAGAGTACGGAGTCCACACATACTGTTGTGAAGCCTTAGGATGTAGACTCCGTACATACTCTGTTCAGGTATTGGACGGTATTTTCGTATATACTTTCATGCGAACATATTTCGGTTGAAGGACTGACAAAAATATGTATTGAGTATACCACAGACCCAGCACAAAAGAGTAACATTCGTTGCATGAATGCAGATCATTTCTTCATGATTCTCATCGACCAGGCCCCCATTTGTACTTGGCATGGCTGAACCAACTTCACGCATTGATGAAAGGGTGATGCATGAATAAGATACGAGGTTTATCTAACTGTAATGCCAGACAAATTGCACTGCTCCAGCTATAACTGCTACGGTAGTGTAAGCGTACTGCTTTACTAAATGAATGAACTTGAAATGGGCGAAGTGAAGAGTTCAAATTGATTCCACTGGTAACCAAAACCGGTACCTTGCGATGTCCGATCTGTTACTCCTGTTACTAAGTTGCACACGCAAGATTTTCCGATACGACATTATGGCCTTATTGAGACCATAGTGTGAGTATGCTGGAGTGATGGCAAGGGATTAGCTTTTATCCGTAGCCTAGTGAAACGAGTAGGCGATCGGGCATAGGAACGTCCCATGTTCAGTTCAGGTGGAATCATATATTGCTCTCTACGTCAGCCCAATTCACACTAAACTAAGTCAATGCACGGGATGGAATCGTCGTGTATCGGCCAGATCGTTCGCCAGTCTCCCGCTAGGTCCGGGTGTTCAATTTCAGGACAACCTACGAAGAACTTTTCGTAAACAAAGCGGGTTCGCGACAGGTTTTCGTCGATTTCCCACTCCTTCTGCATCTCAGTCCTCCATTGTTCCATCGCCATTTATCACTTCATCAACACCCCGACCCCATCTTTTACAATCTAAAGTAGGTTGAAAGGCGGTGATATAGTAATGAAAATGTAGTAGTTAATTTGCCATCGTGATTGTGGTTGATTTCAAAAATGATTATTCTAATATATCCACGAATAAAGTTTAAGATTAAACTGGCGAATGGCCTCGGCAACGTAACTAGCACATATTTTTTGTGATGCTGACGGGGAATTATTTCCTTTCCTTTCTACCGATTATGTTCAGTTTCGTTGCTTCAAGACAGCTGCTCATAAAGCTCAAACGTTCTTTGGATGCTCATTCCACCGAAACATTTTCGCCGGGGAAACGCAAATGGTTCCCAAGGGTTCATTTACATCGACTTTTGCATGTGAAAAATCGCCAGCGCACCAGACAGCACATTGTTTTCCTCCAGGTTTCACCTTCATTCCAACACCTACACTATCTTAATGCTCAATCCTAACTGCATGGTATCTTGTATAAAATTATTAACTCAACGTACTTTCTGGGAAGACCCTGCGAGGCGACATCTCCATGCAGAATCTGGCTGAGGAATTACGACCATTGTGTTGCCTCCGTAATCCACGGAAGAGGTACATTAAGTCATAATTGTAATTATAATGATAACAGCCAATGCTAAATGCACCAGTTGTAAATTATGAGGCTCCGAATTGAACATATCACTTGACTCGGAAATACGTGTACTTTTGAACGGTAGAATTCACTGAAGCCAAAATGTGCACATAATTCATTTTCATCACATGAAATTACTAAATATCATTGTTTAGAACAAGTTTTTTGCTTACATTTTAAGAAAAGATGTTAGCAACAAAATTTCTAAAAATACAAATAATTACATTATCATTTAAAACCATAGTTATACCCACTTTTCATATTTTCAGTCCCAATTTTGTTAAAACTGACTCTTTGCTCTTTGTGATTGTTCGTTTTCAAAATGATAAAAGTGTGAAATTGAAATTACTGAAATATCCAGTAACATTTTTCTTAGTTTCCGATGATTTACAGGACTAGTGTCGCGATTGCTGTGCTTCGGGGTACAGGTACTCTTAAGATTAATTCTATTCCTCCCAAACGTTACTGCTACTTTTAGGAAAATAAAAATGACTTAGAAAGTCATTGTTTCCTTCAGAGATTTCAGAGAAAATTCTACAATAAATGGACACTAGCATCTTCGAGGGAAAGACACACCCCATCGTACCGCAAGCAACAAAACAAATTACATATTCATACTTGACAATGTATTGGTGCATCAATGTCAATATGCTTTTGAGACGTTTAATGTTTTATGCGTGAAAAAATACAAACATTCTCTTTTCTATAAACTGGGCATTTCCATAACGAGATCTTAGACGTTAAGTACGAAGACAAAGAAACTAGTATTACTCGTACATGAAAATACTAAACTTTTTTACAGCTGTGTAATTAACATTCGTAATTTAATACAAACTCGCACAAACAGATGTACATTTTCCAACAAACACTTACAAAATTAGTACTATTATCAATACAATAAATAATACCATTTTCAGACTGAGGTAAACGAACTTGTTTGAATGACTACGCTGCAGTCGAGGGCAAGGTCAGCATTCACGTTACAGCTTGCAATCGCTCAATACTCGGACGATCAATGGGGCGGGGAAGCACCAACTCATTTAGTGCTGGTGACCCTGCTCCACCATTCTGTAGCTGTTCTAATGGAAGTATGCCTCAAGACTCTGTTCAATGCAATTATTAAAAATATTGTTGGATACATTGATTTAATGTAAAATGTCTTGAAAATTACAAAAACAATGTAAGTCAAGATATTTCGATGACAAATTACTCACACGTACTGCTCTAACCCGAAGTAAGACATTGAATCTTCATAGAGACATCGAATATTCATAAACATACAGATTAAACAAGTATCGACGTTTCGAATTTTAAATGGTTTATAGATCGTATCTCATCTCCGTTGAATTAGGGTTTTTGATTTAGGGATTCTTCAAGTTTTCAATGATAACTACCACACACATATTTAAAGTATTAAGTTAACGGGCCCTAATTAAAGAAAATAGCGCTGGAGACATCACGCGAGTGGCGGTCAACAAAAGTTCTCAGGTTGAATTCGGGTTTGCCTCACAAATTCCGGAAGAGTTCTAAGGTAAAGAACATCGGTCTATTCAGGATATTTTATTTCTTCATCCTGGATCCATATTCTTCTTCCTTAGTTAAACTACTGACATAGCAGGAGAGGATTTATAAAATATTTTATGAAAGGGGTGTCAGTTTCGGAAGCTCTTTACTCATAGTATTTTTGAAATTATAAAAATGGCTACCGTGAACTCAATTCAATACAATACAATATAGCTTAATCAATATCTGATGAGGAAAGAAGCTAAGATCAGAAGACGTAAAACTAATTAGATCTGTCTTATATAGGTCATTATGAATCTGTAATGTATCTGTAATGTAATCTGTAATGTAATGTAGGAATCTGTATATCAGAGATGTGAGTGTTACGAATAATAAAATCGGTAACGGATAAAGAACGCAACAGTAACATAAGGCAAACCTGTGAAAAAGTACGATATTGGACTGGACTTGGAAAAGATGAAGAAAATCGAATGACCACATACACACTGGAGGAAAAAAGATTGGTGAAGATGGCAAGAAACAGAAGACCGAAAGCAAGGAGAAGAGTGGATCGAAAAGAATACGATGGAAATATACTTTGTAAAATTGTGTTAGCGTGAACAATGTAAAACATTAATTTATGAAAGTGGTTTTATGAAATGTTACTTGTTTTAAAACAAATCTCCGTTGCGTAAAAACAGGCTACAGCTTAAAATTGGCGAAAGAAGAAGTTAGCGTGACATAAAGACGGGACTACTTCTGTGGGTGGAATGCGATTATTAAGTGGTAATGGTTTTGAATATATGAGCATTAAAAGCACACAAAAATGTGTGCTTTGGTGGGAAGGACATGACCAGGACACCCAGAGAGAGAGAGAGAGAGAGAGAGAGGAAGAGAGAGAGAAAAGAGAGAGAGAGAGAGGAAAAGGAGAGAGAGAGAAAAGAGGAGAGAGGAAAAGAGCAGAGAGAAAAGAGAGAAGAAAAAAGAGAGAAAGAGAGAAAAGAGAGAGAGAGAGAGAGATGAGAGAGACAGAGAGCAGAGAGAGAAGAGAGAGAAGAGAAGAGAATGGGGAGAAGAGCACTCAAGCGCCACTCAGCATGAGGTTGGTGGTCTTTGTCTACCAACAGTTAAAATTTTGAAAACAGTATAAGGGATCTTCTATACGCAACAACTTTCCTTCCTGCATCTTCTTCCTAAAATGTGGCGAGAGCAAGGGTGGTGTTAGCAGTTATCTTTGATAAAAATACCTTTTTCTTCTTTCATGGAATACACTGTATCTGAGGCATACTAAGGTGAACCATGTACTTTTGAGAATTAAGAATATGATGTTTGGGAGAAACACGCCCACAAGCCGTCATGACTGACGAGCGCCTGTATGTCTGCCAGAGCAACTGTGCGCATGCAGCCTCCGACTCGAGTCCATCGAAGGCTTCTAGAGGCGCCTCTGCCTCTCGTTTCAGGTCACACAGCATCCGCTCGCGCCAGTGCAGGAGATACCGTTAGTTGTTGCATCGAATCGAACACTCGTCGCAGAGAGAGACCGAGGAGGATGTGACGGCGGCCAAACAAGAAACGCTTTAAATTTCCGACGCTAGATGTATCAAATCCCATTGTTTTGTAAAGAAACAGAAGACTTCAATTTAATTTCCATATTATGTTTTGAAACAACTGCATCACTTATGCCTTAATAGAGATTAAATTCCACAAATGCGTTCAATTACATGTATATTTATAATAAATACTGAATACACATTTTCAATTCTATATAGAGTTTTTAAAGAGCTTGAAGAAGTAACAATGCCACAGCAAGATTCCCACCATTCGTAAATGTTAAAATATTCATTTTGTTAATGTGTAACCTATCGTGGTTCGTACTTCGTAATTGCACGACTTGTTCATTTTTATGGAAGGTTTGGGCAGTAAGAAGATGTTTTTGCTTTCTCGCATACTACATGCGTAGTATAGCGCAAGTTATGTAATGCTTTAGCAAGAGACGATTTTTTGGCAGAAATACTCTTATTGCTGGGCCCTGGTAACGAAAAATTGATTTTCGTTACCATTTTGATGAATTCTTTAGATTTTAAAAAGATTACACAAATGTAAGATATATATGAGTAATGTCGGTAATATATACATTAAGGGGAGGGTTTATACATTATTGAATTCGTGAGTACAAATGCTTTCTTATGGTTTCTCAAAAACTCAAACGTTTTCTGTGAAATCGAGCTCAAAATTGCGCATTTTCAACAATCATTTTTTCAAGAACGTCTCCACATTTTTTCAATGAAAATTAGCATATATGACTCTTCTATAATATTCTTATAGAGTTATTTCAATTCTATAATTAGGGGTTCGAAAAATTGTAAAAAGCAAAAATATGGCTTTTTGATGCTGAGAGCAGCCGAGAAGAGGATGGGGCAACATCGAGTCTGTGTGGTTTTGTATCAACACTTGGTATTAATGTTTTCATCACCAACTCACCACGTTCCTTCACCATTCTTTGTACGAAGTGAAGGAATTGAATAAAATTAAAAGTCCTTGGTTCAAACACGTTTCGGATCTTATATCATGCCAATTTCTTGAGTTATGAACTCATCAGGATAATGAAGAAACAACACCATCTGCATTCACGCTGGGCAACTAGTTTCCCAGTTAATGACCTTTCCTATTCTCGCTATTTCTTTCCCAAAGTCTCGGGACGATGCATTGTCAGTTTGGCGAAGTGAAATCTTAATCTAAATGCTCCCTTTGCCACTGACTTCCTGGTGCCAGAGATCTAATGATTGTGGCCACTGCTTCCGCAAGCGCTCCCGACGAGTTACGCATCGGGTTTACGAAAACATTCCCATCCTATGCACAAATGCTACGTTCCTGGTGCCTTGGTCTGCAGTTGATCCTTGACATTGGGGTGACGAGACCAGGTTCAAATGCCGAGCGACCCGTGTGAAATTTAAGGAGTTCGCGCAGGTTCGCGATAGGTCTAGGTGCTACCGTTTTCCTTGCTTCTCATTCCTCTATCGTCATCACCCATCACTCATCTGTTAAATCCGTTTATCACAGGAGGGTCCGAAATAGACTTGTGAACGAGGAAAGTGCAGCGTCCAATCTTGCTCCACACCCGCAAAGAAGCAACGTTCTCACCCTGTTGGGGACGACTTTACTCCACCGACACGATTCCAGCAACGTCACTTGTCACCGGAATCCTACCAGTCTTTCGCCAGAAGGTCTGTTACATAAGCGGTGAAGGGCTCTGGGAACAAGGTCCTCACCCATTTAGAGACCCCACCAGCCGCATTCACGCTAAGTCACTGGACTCAATGATTTTGACCATTACTCGCTAAGGACTCTACAGCATAAGCGAGGTAGAGCTCTAGAATCGAGATACTCACCGGCTTGAAAATGACATATCCGTGGACTGCATTCATGCTACCTCACTAGTCCACAGCCTCACCAACTTGGCCAAGGGTTCCGTCGCATAAGCGAGAAGGAGCTCTGGGAGCGAGGTACTCACCGTGTGGGGGGAAGACTTTATCCCACTCCATTCGCGCCACGCCGTGAGCAGCGGCCGCCAAGGTGGTTTGAGCGAGGTACTCACCGTGTGGGGGAAGACCGGGGGACTCACCGGGTTGGCGAAGCAGTGCGGCGGGCGCAGCGCGAGCGACGCGGCCGCCACCTCGCCGCCGGGCAGCCCCGCTTGGTAGACGAGCAGCGCGGCGGCGGGCGCCATGCGCGCGGACACCTTGAGCGAGAGCAGGAAGCGGCGCGGCGCGGGCGCCCCGGCGTCGCCGAGCGAGTGCGGGTGCTGCGCCTCCGCCGCCGCCGGCAGCTCCTGCACCGGAGCCACGCCCGCCTGTACGATGTCCCCGCGCGCCGTCACCTGCGCACGCACGCGCCACACACGTCGCGCTTCCACACCAACATTTTATTCTCATTACACTAACATAATCTCACCTTCATGAACAGTTTGTGTTATGGGAGTGAGTGTGAATAGTCAGAAGGAGTATTACGCAGGCGTCGCGCACCGAATTCCTTAACTACGATCTGTGAAGTCGAGGACGTTAAGAAACATCGCGCGTTCCTGGTTGGGTGACCGTCCGGCGACACCGGGATCGAACGGCGCCAAGCCCCTGGCCGAAGGGATAAAAGACAATGGGTGGCTGTGATTGGCGATGACTGTCTGGACAAAAGGAAGATTATTCCAAACGTTCGTCGCCAGTAATTTCGACAGTCAAAGCGATGTTGCTTCACTTTCGTTCTCAAATATATTGACTTAAAATTCAATGTTCTTTTCTGAATGACTTTTCGAGTGCCATACCCTCACGAGATGTATGTTCCATTGCGCCAGCGATCTGATGTTGCCTTTTTAGTGATTTTACGAATTAAAATATGATGAGAAGAATTATGGGTAAAAAGTATGGTCTGTGTCTTCCAAAACAATAAAATATCTATACATTCTGCGTCTTTCGACCCGACAACCATCAGTATTGCGAAATATATTTGTCCCCTGCTGTCTGCGTCACATCTGAACACTTCTGAAAGTGCAGTAATGAATTACGTGTTTAAAGGACGCTCAGTTAGACAAAACGTCAAACCACAGGTTGAAATGTTGTTTGCATAGATATCACAGTATACATAGACGATTGGTTATTCAACACCATCTCATATTCATTACTATAGAAAACTCTTTCTAATAGCTTCGTGTAGATTTTATAGTTCCGGATGCTGGACTTCAGAGGATTTAAGGTGGAAGTGAATACTTCAATACATCATACATGTACACGCTTGTAAACCAATGAATATCTTTTAATTAAAATTTTAGGATTCTGATTTTACAAAACATTACTGAATTATTCTGACACAGCGAAGAATTTGTTGCATTGTAACCAGTGAACAATTCAGAAGTATACTAAATGTTACAGGAAATTCAAACAGGAAACATCAAAAGAAGGTCTTCTAAGTTTAATTCGTTTTTAGGAAAAGAGGTTTCACGTTCACAATGTTATATAATGTTGCATACTTTACGTAAACACAGTTTCTCTTTATGTGAATACAACTTTCAACTAAAAAACAGAATTTCCTTCAACACACATACTCGTACATGAAAAACTTCCCAATTTTATCATCTTGAGGAGTAGTTTACGAACAGAATCGTTTTTGCGCTCGTGAATCTTTCAACTTGGGCTCATTTACAACCCCTGAAGTGCCTCCTTCATCTCGTACTCGCCAAGCATAACAAAACAGCTGTTCTGCTTTTGCTAGAGCAGCCTAATGACCATAATCACGCTGTTATACGGAAAGACAGAAAAAGTTATCGCTGGCGGCGTTACTTACGCATCTTCATTAACAGGCGAGCCCGGATCTCCAACGAGGCCTAAGCGGCTTCCAAGGAAGGTCGCCTCATTTCTCGAACTCAACACTTCGCTTAGCAGAAATATGAAACGTTTCTAAAAACGTTTCGTAAACTCCGAGTCTATTTTGGTGTATATCTCTGGGGTTTGAGTCGGTTCTTTATTTCTTGTCCTCCAGATCACTTCTTCTGCGAGATTAGTAGGCTTTCATTAAAACAAACGGGATGTGCTTATGACAGTACGCTTCCTCAATCAGATGAAACATTTAGTTTTTATGCTGAGGAAAATAGTACTTGAATGAGTATAAATGATAAATGTATACTTATGTATTTTACGAAAATTACTTTTAAGATGTTAAGTACAGAAACACTTCTAATTTTCAATTTATTTCTATTTTTTAAATGCTGAAAAATCGTCTTTTTGATCTAATGCTATTATGACAACTACGAAAAATTGCTATTATATTACGGGAAGGCAGACATTACGTCATGAGGTTTAGGACAAATGCCAGCTAGTAGAATGTATCTTGAGACTGTAAGTTGAAGTAAGAACTTGCGCGTTGGTTCAAGATTAAAATTGTGCGCTAATTTCCATTACTTAAATAAATTGGCAAAATTTAAAAGCAGTGTTCGAAATATTAATTTTCAATGTAAGTCAATACCGAACCCAGCTAGGAAACACTACAAGTCTAGAAGAAAGTTAAGATAAATAGATATCGTTTCAACTTGGCAATTTATTTTTTAAAGTTGTAACAAAAAACTCAACGATCTTCATCCCTTTTAAAAGGTATGATATCATATAAGGAGTCTTTCATATGTTTTCACACTAAAATTTTAGGGATTCTACATGGCGTTCATCTCGTCAGATTTTATAATTGGATGATTATTTTCATTCTAAAATTAAATTTCATTGGCCCTTGGAATCCAGTAACCTATTTTATTTGATTCCCCTTCCGTTCCACAACAGTTCTAAACTTTCATTTTAAAAAACTAGTGGTGCTGCCAAAGCACATATTTCTTGGAATGTTTCTAAACGCTCCGGAAAATAATAGGGGCCATAAATCCAGGGGCAGCGACATCAGCCAGACCGATCTCCGAAGTATCCATTTTGGAGGAAATTGGCTCAACGGTTTAGCTTGTAGCGTTGCCCGCAGACAGACAGACGGACGTTTTGCCGTCAATCGATTTTTCGGTATCAAGAACCAACAAAGCATGGATTCTGGAATACACCACTTGTTAGAGGATTTTTTTTCTAAATTTAGCAACAGGATTTATCCATTTTTCGTTACCAGAGCCACTCTATAAGACTTTTTCTGTCCTAAGTTCGCCGTTTTCAGGTGCACGATTACAAATAATTCGTAAGGCGAGTAAATAAAAATTATCGAAATCTCCAAAGTGTAATTTTCTTGTTTTTTTTATGTTTTTTGTGAACTTAGAACTGTATTTTCTCTGTATGTGAATATCGTATTCATCTTGTGGTTACTTGCCTTATATATTACAATAATTTATTTACAATATGGCACACACTCAACATATTAGAATTCTGGAAAACGCGGTAATGATGAATAACTGCACACGGCACTCACCAGGTAGCGCAGCTGCAGAGGCGTGGAGCCGGTGTAGTAGACGGAGAAGTCGTGCGGCGCCCCGCAGCGCGGGCCCGCGGGGTCGTCGTCCACGACCTCGAGGAAGTGCTTCGAGGGCGAGAACCAGGCGTGCACGTCGAAGAAGGCGGACGGCTGGTCCATGAGCACGCGCCAGCGCGTGCCCGGCGCGTAGTACTTGGTGGGGAAGTCCACGGCCGTGGCCTGCAACACGGCTCGCGCTCACCGCACTCGTTCGCCCCCGGGCGCGCTCGCTCCGATTGACTTGGGAGCGGCTCGAGGGAGGGAGGGTCACGCTCTCCAACTAGGACCCATCACAATGCAGCACTTTTAGGCGTCCTCGGGCGAAAGCGAGAGCCAGCAAAGAAACAAACGCACGCGTCTTCCATTGCAACTGCCTTATTTTTTAACCAATTACATTTAAAACTTCATTTCACTTGAGTAATTGCAGATAGGTCCCCATTTCGACTTTCTGCACCGAAACCTCTGAGGGCTCACCTATGCCACTGAATTTTCAAATGGTTGAAAATTAGTTTCAAAATGGGAACGTCTGAAGTAAAGTTGGGCAGAGCATAAAACTAATGAAATTCACCAGATTTAAACCAGAACGTACAGAATAGATCGCGGTGAAGAAACTTTACTATGTGGTATTACTAAGTGAATACCCGGTAAAATATAAAATGTGCCCCCTGAAAGCGATGGACTTCGCCCAAATATTAAAATCGGGAGGGCTGAAAAAATACAAAGACAGTCACTCTGGATTGGCTTTGCGTATTCGGAAACGGCGGCGGCCGTCGCTTTGACCTCCTAAGCTCTGCAGAAGTTGCCCCGCAGAATTGCTCACGGCTCTCGCCCGCCGCCACCACCTACTGAGATCCACGAGCCAACGACCCGCACTGAAGGGAGCGAAAACGTGAGCCCTGCATTAACGCTGCATTAACATCGGCAAAACATCATTTCGCTATTTATTTTCGGAGATACTCTTGAAATGTTTTTCACGAGAAGGCGATATACTTCAAGAGATAACATGGAAGGCAGAAGATTTAGTTACTCTGTTGCATACAAGTATAAATGTATAGTCGTAATGAAAAGAAAAGTGAAATCATGAGAGACGTGAAATTTGAAAATACAATAATTTTAAATTACTGCAGTATTTTGAACAATCTTCTGCATCCCTGTGATTGAAGCATGAAGTTCAAGCAACAGGGGGAGAAACTTTTTTGTACGCGTATTATTAATTATGGTTCAAGGTTTTGCTGCTAGAAAAGATTGTCCGGATAGAACGTACCATAACTCTTAAATAATGAAAACCCGACCGGGTCGCTGTAAATTGCGAAGTTATGGAAGCATTTCTAGGAACGATGCAATAGTTCTTTCGGCATTTCTATTTCGCAGTTCGAATTCGTGGCTACACGGTCATGAAAGTTGTATTTGCAAAATACGAGTACAATATCGAGTAGGCTTCGCGAATTGATATCGTTTTGCGGCTCTCTAAATTTCGGTTGTTCGGAACAAAAATTACTGTACTTCTTGCATGGCGGTCACTTTACAATTTTTTATATCTCTTTCTGATCCTTTTAAGTAAACTACAATTAGATTACTTTTAGTAAAACAATTTTTACAAATAAACTGGAGATATTAAATACAAATATAATATATAATGCATAAAGATGGATGTAGAATCACGTAACTGAAACGCAACAGATCTTAGGCTCTTCACAATATCAAAAGTTCTCTGTAAACATCTTCAATACACACTGTTATATTCGGAGAATGAATTGTCCCTAAACGACTAAAACAAATATCAGAGGGACAAATTTTGATTCCTATATGAGACATGACAAAAATAGCAAATTGCACAAAATTTCCCTTAATAATTCTCAGGCCTCCCCAAAACTTGCTTAGTGGTTCCCTAGTGAACCGTGGACTCCCAGTTTGAGAACCTGTTTCTAATAATAAAGGAAACTTCTAAATAAAAACTAGAATATTGTATTAAAAATGAATGTGTTCTACTACTGAACATAAATCATTATTAGTATGGGAATTTAATTACGTCTCGTAATTTTTGACGGCTTATCACAAGTAATAAAAATATATTCTTCAATATATTATTTTTTTAAATAAAAGATAAACAAAACTACTTTCACGTGATTAATGCAATATATTTTGTTTCAAGCAATTTTGTTATTAATGAGGTGACGTCAAAACATACTATAAACAGAACACTTGGAACTCTACATGGCAACATGTTTGCTTCACACATTCATTGTACCTTTAAGTGGTACTAACTTACCGATTTCCATAGCTGGTTCTGTCAGTTAATTAGAGAAGTGTTATAGTGTGTATAAAATATTTTTTTAAAGATCTCTAGATAGCGATGTATTTTTATTTGCACTGTGTTAACTGAAAATGATAAACATATTAGATCTTGAAATCATATCAAAATCAATATAACTTCCGTTTCGACATTCTATTGCTGTAAACAAATCATTATTCAACATTCTGTGGGAAATTGGTAATGTGTGCTAAAGAGATTTAATACTGAAGAAGACTAATTTGTAGGAAAATTCTTTTGAGCTATTCCCTGGTGTACCGTGCAAACATCATTTCAAATACAGGGTCAATTACGAAAAACGTTTCCTCGACAATAATCATATTCGAGCTCTTACTCTACGCGTAAATAATAACGCCCCCAAGTCAAGGACATATTCCATCCATGTTGGCTGGGCTAACCGGGACGAGCCGCGTCAATGTCATGTTGGCTAACGCTTCGGCCAGCGTATTGTGGCCTTCTTCAGAGCGTACTGCTGAACCTGCTATGGAAATGCGTACCTCTGCAGTACGCTCTGAAGAAGGCCACAATACGCTGGCCGAAGCGTTAGCCACCATGACATTGACGCGACACGTCCCGGATAGCCCAGCCAACATAAACGCCGGCCGCGGAAGCCTATGCAACCATATTCCATCCATGTCTAATAGGTACGTAGCCACGAAACATCTTCACGCGCTAAAGTATCAGATAAATTCTTGACTAGCTTACCGGCACATCTGACGTGATATCTGTTCTGGCCTAATATCGGTACTGTTGCGTACATATTATTTACACATATATGTTCTTCCATTCATATTGCGATACCAACATCTATTTTGAATAGCGTAATTCGAGACATCAAAGTAACGCGATTTCGAATTATTTTGTTGTTGTTATGTTTTATTCGCAGCGCATTTCTTTAGCCCTTTTTGGGCATTGAGCGTATTTACTTCTGGGGTTATCCTCGTAACGTTTTTGTCGTTTGTCTCATAACGTCGCAGTCAGTCCATAGCATTGGACAGGGGTTCGACCCCGTTAATACCCTTGGTTCCCAGACGGACACCCAACCGGGAATCCGTGATGTATCTTAACTTCCGTGGCTTCACGGAGCGGAGTTAAGCAATTCGGCTAGCGACGGCCAGTTAACTCTTCCGGCACAGCTCCACTTAATTCTTCCAACATTATATGAAACGAGAAGATAAACTACAATAAGCTGCCTTCAATATGCTAACTCATTTCGCAATTTTCACAACTCACAATTTTAGCATCTGTCATTTTCCTATCTTGCATTACAGAATATGTTATAATCGAGAAAATGTTTTCATACTAAACGGATTTCTAAATGTAATAAAGGAAAGAATTAGTAGTCCAGTTTACATTGTGGGTGAATGACTGTAAATCTCCCCCTCTCGGAATACCATTAATTGCGCGGCGTGACGATCCAAACATTACGCAAGTTATACAATCACGACCCGCAACAAATCTGCTACATTGCTATACTCCGTAAGATCAGCTGCAAGCCAACTGAGCAAACATGACCTTTACTTCACGTACAACAACGAATAAGCAAAAACAAATGGGCAGGAAAGAAGAGCAAAGCAAGATTATGACTGCTCCAACTCTCTCCCTCCTTTTCCTCATTCCCTACATCACACATTCCCAGACCCCGCGTGCCCGGAAGCACATGTCTTTTTTTCACATCTTTTGCATTCCACTGAAATTCTTGGAAGGCTTTAATATGAAAATAGTAACTCCACAAAAGTCAATGGCCAAGAACAGTACTCACTTCAGGGTATGAATTAAACACTTCATATGAATAGTCCAAACAAATTCATGAGCTCAGAAGACACTTTGTGTCTTGTTATAGTGAAGTAAATGCTTCAAAAACTATCTTCGCTTGATAAAATTAAAAGATATCTGATTCAAAATAACTAAATGTCGTACCAACCACAGTTGCCGTAATTAATAAAAGAAATATGCTGTCCCGGTTCCATCCATAACTGAAAGACCACGTTATTTCATTTCTTACAAAATTAAGAAAAATTTACTACAATTTTGCAAGAATATAGTTATTTCAGAAGAAGCGGATCTGGAATAATTCTCCATGAAATTTCTTCTAAGCGAGTTTTATTGCACCAACCCTCCAAAAGCTACTGAAACATTTATTGATGAACTTCGCCGTTGTTCTTCAAAATCTTGATCTTTTTATTTCTCCACTAATTTAACACGCAACGGAATTAATCAAGTTCCCTACAAAGTTTCAGAAAACACTATTACTACAAAGGAGATATTTTGGCAGCCGAGTCCTGTGGCAGATGCAAGAAGGAAGGGCTCCTTGCTGGCCACTACATCACACATTCCTAGACCCCGCGTGCCCGGAAGCACATGTCTTTTTTTCACATCTTTTGCATTCCACTGAAATTCTTAGAAGGCTTTAATATGAAAATAGTAACTCCACAAAAGTCGGGGCAGAGGGGGAGGGGGCAGAGAACGGAGGCAGAACAGCTGGTGAGATAGGCACCTCGTGAATCTGCCCTCGACAAGGCTCGCGGGATCCCATCAACACACACATTGAAGTGTAGTGTCCCTTCACGATCACAAGCTGGATGGAGAAGGGAACACTATCATTCAATCGGGAGCTTGGTTGTTTTGGTATTGAAGCTAGTACCTTTATGTTAGGGTACCACTAGTAAAATAGTATTAACCTACCCCCATAATTTCTGTAGTGATTTCGGGCACTCAGCTCGACCACTGCTCGTTCATACTTGACAATGGTCGTACAATATGGATTATTTATTAATCAAGAACAAATTATTACAGCCATAATTTACGGATGTGTTTGATGGTTCAAACAACGTCTATTAAGATAATTTGAAATGATCAAACATTTCAAAGGATATAAAACAATCTTCGACTTTGTTCACACACAATCCACAGTGAACAAATATATTTTTACTTCTCTTACCTTAGTTATAGAAGAATTACCTGAATTTTTTGTACACAGTGTGAAGTTTTTAATATGCGACGACCTCTCTGAAAGAGGGTGATATTTTGTTAGAATTTCATTCCTAAAGTTACTTTCTATATTTACGATAAATATTTTGGAGTAGTTTTTAGTAATTTTACGAGTAAATTGTGAATATCTTCTCTAGGTTGGATCTTAAGAACTAGTGTTTAACCTTACGTCAAAATTGTCTTTATAAGGCCGTCGGAAATAATGACTAAATGGTTATCCGAGATTAGGATACAGACGCAATAGAGGATCCACTTCACTCCATTGCCGAAGGTTTATGAAATGAATCACAGTACTAGGAAGCGAATACACACGCTAAAAAAAGGTACAAAGTTTTTATTTGCACCCTAACCCCCTTCCGGTCGTGATTCATGACGTCATGCCGACCGTTCTGTATGTACTGCACCGCACTCCATTGCATCACACTTTTCAAGTAACATGCAACTCGAATGGATTTCAAATTAGAATTTAACAGATTGAAATTTCGATATTTCTGGAGAATCCTAAATTGCCTGAAAGTATAAATATGTTAATTGGAAATTGGTAAAAGTAATAGAGTACGATTATAAAATATGTGAAGTCTTATTTCATTCGAAGTAAGCATTATTAATATCGCCATACACATTTTTCGATTTTTTTCCACTTGATCCTTGTGAGTGAATATTAGGTAGCATTCTTTAAGGACTGCCTTGGCTCGGAATGTACAACAGTGTTACGGCCCAGCTGCTAAAAGACGTCACATGCGCAACAGCAAAAAACGCGAGCATCTGCTCCACTGCCATCGCAGCGCCCGCCGCGCGCGCGCCCTCTGCACTTCCCACATGCCTCTCGCTGCGCTGCGGGTGCGGTGCGTGCACCACAAGAGATGATTATTTGTCGTTCAGATATTCGGTTATGAGGCACCTAATAAATCGAAAACATGTTAGAAATACACAGTATTGTTTAAAACACCAATATCCACCGTTGCATTTCTATTTTTATGAAAACGATGACAATTAAAGAAACATTATGTCTACCCCTGTTTCTTAAAACCCCAATTCGCATCTGGTTGAAGGACCTAGTATGATTTTCAGGTGCTTGTTTTGGTGAGTCCCCTCGCCTTTTTAAGAAGATTTTAAAAGTAATCATTAAGTAATCAAGATTAAAAAATCTACACGTTAAATCTAATTCTTCAATGATGAAAATGGGGGTTCCCGTTTGAGATTTGAAAGTTAACCGCCACCCCAATCACTGGGGGTGGGGGCCTAACTGTTATAGGGTTTTTAAAAATTATTGAGCAGTTGTTTCTTGATTTTTCAATCCAAAGTGAAATTTATCAATAATTGCTAAGATCATACTTTTGAAATTAAAACGCCATCTATCACGAATCAGAAAAAACGTTTCAGGCAAAACGAATGTTTTAGTGTAAAATTCGAATATGCAACAAAAAAAATGGGGATTCACATTTACGATTTGAAAGTTGCCCCCACCCCACCCCCAGGAGGCAGGGCGAGGTTTGATTTCAGGGCAGAGAGATGTCTCCCTCGAAGATATCGATTGTTTGACTGGTATATTTTCTACAATGCGTATTTTTCTTGCGATTTGTCAGGTTAAATCGAACGCCGTTAATATTTCTTTAAGAGATGTTTTTAACGAAGAAATTCGTTACGAGTAAATGTTGATATAATTCGAAGATATCGACGTATTTAATTAAAAACACTATAAGAAAACTCCAAAAACTAGTTACACTGTGTGTAAGTGATTCGCGAACATGTGTGCGCTTGTGCGTGAGATGGTGTAGCGTATGTACACGCGCGCGAATATAGTGACGCGCGCGTGTATGTCTGTGTGTGTCTCTGTGTGTGTGTCTCTGTCTCTGTGTGTGTGTGTGTCTCTGTGTGTGTGTGTGTCTCTGTGTGTGTGTGTCTCTGTGTGTGTGTGTGTGTGTGTGCGTATGTAAGCGCGCGCGAATATAGTGAGGCACTCACCACGAGCGAGAGCAGCTGCACGTCGGGGCCCTGCGGCGGCACGCGGAAGTGCAGCACGCCGTCGGCGCCCGACGAGAAGTTGCGGCACTGCACCAGGCTGCGGCTCCACTCGCGGCGGCGGCGCGCCTTGAGGCACAGCTGCAGCGTGCGGTGGCGCGCCGCAGCGCCGTCGGGCAGCGCGGCGCGCACGCGCCCGGCGTACGGCAGGCCCGGCTTGAAGTGGCGCGGGCTGTCGGGCAGGAAGGCCAGGCGCAGCGCCTGGTGCTCCACCGCCACCTCCAGCGACGCGTTCTCCGCCGCGCCCGTCCCCGCCTCCGTCACCTGCGCCGCGCCGCGCCGCGCCCGTCAACACCACAGCAGCGGCGGATCCACACGCACATTTGGGGAGCGGAAATTCAAAATGTGTTGGGCGAATGCGGCATATTACAGATTTTCTAAAATGTTACTCACTACACTCAGCTCATGCTGCGATACTATTTTATTCATTTTAACGATTATATGAAAATATTTCTGCTTGAAAGTTGCGTGACATGTTAGTAGACATTAAGTTACTGAAAACATTTTAGGGGGGATTTCCTTCATTTTCCATCTGTGGATCAGCATCTGTATACAACGCGTCTCAGAATAAATGTTACAAACTTCTAAGGCGTGTGGAGGGATCAAAACAATATCTTTTGGCCAATGAATGTGCAGTGTAGGATTTCATACAACGGGTTTACACATAGATCATTTCTGATGATTTTATCCTATTTTAACTTCTTATGCACAGGTGTGAGTCAGGTCACTTTATGACTCATGCAAGGAGATTTCATGTAACTACAGAACATCTGTGCAAACTAGAATGTATAACAATTAGAGGCAATTGTCACATATGAAATTGCCCACTTAATGCTCGTTGGCGAATAATCTACAGCCCTCTACATGCTCTAGAAGTTAGTAACATTTATTCTGAGGCACTATTACAATACAGTGAAAGAGATTCTGTGTATCTGCTAAACGAAATCTCGGCTTGCCAGCCCCGATCACGGTTGATTGGTTAATGATGTTCTACTGTACATTCAATTGTTATGAGCTTTTACACACGCATTCCGATCCATATTTGCATAGTTTCAAGTATTTTCTCACAGCCAATTTGTATGATACTGTTACTTAACGAGTGTGAGCGGAGAACACGATGAAAAGGCTAGTTCAGTGAGATCGAAAAACTTTTCGATTTTCAGCATCAACTAAAAGGGCCACGAGCGCGAGCGTGCAACCTTTCGCAGCGTTACATCACCGACGGCAACGAAAGCTGGACGCAGGCCGCTCGGTGGCTTCAGAGATTCACACAAGCAGGCGGCAAGTGCTTTCCCCGTCTCGTCAGCTAGGACTCCGAGGGGGAGTCAGCTGTTTTTCGTATATTGCAAAGCAATGGTAACTTAGTTATACTTTTATAATTTTATAACCTGACACTTGACGTAAATCATCTGTTTCGGTTGCATTCAATCTGAAGCTTAAACGTTATCATAGTGGCGCTGTGATGACGTTCAAGCTCCCGATTGAATGACACCATAACAGCTCATCTCCGTCAAGTGCCAGGTAATAAAAACGCAAGTGTATATGAAAATCCCCACTACTTGTTCGTTATGCAAAACTGATCTTGCACTAGGATGGTGTAACATTTCGTCTCAGCTATTCTGTATATCTGTGGTCAGCAGCTCAGGCGCATGAATATAGCGAGGAATGGGATTTCTTAAGAGGTTTGAGGTACAAAAACTCAAATCTCAACGATTTTGTATCTTTCGACCCTACCGAATACTATTAAAGCCTACGAATTTTTGAATTGTAAACTTATTTTAAAGTATCTTTCTAATCTAACAGATCAGTAATTTTACATTTACGGTGGTTTAGTAGTCCAATGTATACAGTGCTGTGTAAATGTATTATTTCCAATAGCTTTTGAAAAGGATTTGAAATATCCACGGGTTCGAAAAACCTTTACAAATGGATTTCAAGAAAATTTACAACTTGCCCTCTTACTAAAAATAATTAGATAGCAAGTTTCTATCATTTCGATTCCATCATTTCGAACTTTCTATTCATTTAATTTTTTAAGTGAAATTTAATAGAACATTTAAAGGGTATTATTTTGTAGATTAGGGCATACGAATTTCCGTGTCCAGAAAGGCACATGAAAACCGGCTTTTAAGGGCGTAGAACGAGTTGTTTCTTATTTATGCCCAATGGTGACATGTTTTGCGGGTTGCCTGTGCGCCTAGTTTCTTTATACCACAATCTGCGAAATTCTAAATTTTTCGTTTTAAATGTTTTAAGCATGGGGAGATCATTTCTTGTAAAGCAGTAGAATACTTACAAGTTTTATGTCGATGATGTTCTATCGTGCAAAACTAGCATCTTTCATTTGCTTAGAGAGAGGACTGACACTTAAGACAACTTATTTTCATGGAAGCCACCAATTACAGAGCTGAAATGGACATGAATGGCCATGTGCCGTTGTAATTCAATGAATCCAACAAATGTCAATTATCCATTTATTTCAATCAAATCATACTTATTATCCGGAAGTAATACTTTCAGGGTTGACCTTGGCAACATGACATTTACGTCCCACTGTACATGAACTGTGTGTCAACGATACATTTTCGCAAGTAACTCCGTGGGACATTGTCAACGCCGAGTCAACGTAGGTCATCCGACCGACAATGTGGGTTCGTTAATACTTCCGTTCGATCTTCGTATTTTCCTATGAAGTTCTCGCAATGACTCGGTGTAGCTGGTAAGTAAAGAGACTCAAAGAGGCCCTAGACGTAGAAAAAGGAATTCGGCCTTGTTGCAAAAATGTAACCACTGGCAACGCACTTTTGCCGAAGTCTGTCTTCCATTTCAATTGAGAGAGGTTTTTGAGAAAATAATACAATCCGTTTTCTTTCCAAGTATCTTGTACCGTTGATTTTGGGTATCGTTGTTACCAATTAAAAATCTGATCTTTCTACTGTTAGAAAGGTATAGCGGGTGGCCGCTAAGACTCCTAAAGAAAACTCTCCCTCGGGATGAAACTAAAAACCCTAATTTGACTCTTATGGGAAACCACTTAATTCCCACATTAGACAGAGGATGTAGATAAAGCTGTAACGAATCCTTTCGGACTTCATCTGGTTAATGCTGATATCCAGAGAGTGCTGGCTAAAGTAAGGTGATTTTCGGAGAATGAGGCGTGGTGGTGTTCGTAAGAAGTAGTTTGTCGTAAATGCGCATTTAAAATTATGCGTTGCACGGACTGAATGTTGCTTTAAGTAAATTCCGAATGCCGAAGGCCGTACTCTTGTCGGCAACTGGAAAAATCGTAGCGAAGTGCCAACTGAACTGTGTGGGGCGTTTTGGAGCTGTCTTTTAAATAGAAATTTCCGACTGACGCAGCGAAACTACACTTTGTCTCTCAATAGAGTTAAAACTGCCCGCATTCACTTTTATCTACGTATGTTTATTAACAATATCTGCTATTCCTCATCATGCTAACCTTCTTAACCTATCCTAGTCACCCAACGTTGGCTAATGCCAACTTTACCGGGCAACAGTTCGAAATATATTTCGAAGCTGTTTCAACCTCAGACTTTATACACCCATTTTGTTAAGTTTATTCGCTAAATTAGTCATATTTGAACATCATCCAGATTGTGCGGCGAACCATTTGATTTGAACATTCTGAAGGTTCACGTTATTGATTCTCATCAGATCGATGGTGGAAAATGTTGAGTCATGAAGTACATGCCTCTCCAGAGAATGGAGAAAACAGATTGGGAGTTATTCGGTTAAGAAAGAGTCTTCATTGATTGACTGGTCAAAACAAAACAAGATATAATTGTTTAGTTTTTCTAAATAAGCTAAATGAAATTTCTGTGCAGTTCTTCGTACAGATATAAAAAAATGATGAAGTTTATGATATTCTTGAAGTTGTTGAAGACGATTTTTCATTAAGTATAAAGAACATTTCTTGTGAGTATAACGGAAATATGAAAGTCCATGTAAGAATTAGTCACAATCACAATCAAGAATCCGTGTTGACAACTGTGTCACGTTTATATTATATTTTAACATCTCCAATTGTTATTTTCAAATCTATCAGGAACAATGAGCATCGATGAAGAACGTTAACCGAGTGCAGCGAACTTCTTTCAAGTTCGTCTTCTCGCAATTTTGTGTCAAACTCACTTCACTATTCATACATTCTATGTTTTGGTTTAGAAGAGTAGTATATAAGAAATTATAACAAATACTTTTTTCACAAAGACCTATAGTTGGCAATGAAAGAAATGCCTCCATCATGTGTCATATGCTGATATATAACTAGTATGTCAGATAACGTAGGTTATAAGCACGACCCCATTACCAACTTATGAGTACAAAACAAAGTCGTTTAATTCCATCTACGAGTATAATATAATGGAGAACAGTCACACACGGGAAGCAAGTGAAATCAGAACATCCAAATCTTTAAACAAAGCTTAAGAGCGTTAGGAGAATAAGGGGGGTTGTGTGTCGTAATAAATATTAAATATGGTATTTAATTTCTGTGAATTGCAATTTGTATTCATGTTATAGCGAGACGTTGATATTTTATTAAAATGTCTTAGAAATAAACAATAGACAAACAACGACAACTTCCTAAGAATAATGTGAAGATGTGAAGAACAACGTCAATGTAATCGGTCTGAAGTATTTCTACAGTTCCATTTCGATTTCGATCTCTTTTTCTAATTGTATTTCCTATTTGTATCCCTTGAGACATGTGTCCTCATTTGTGCCACACGCATTTTCTACCAATCACACATACCGAGAACTTCAGATATAAATATTCAAAAAGTAGAGAGATATGTAGCTCTTTCTATGATCACAACTTCGGTTGTTGTCAGCTGTAAAGAGAAATGAAAGGTTCTCTTCGATCCAAAGCAGCTCTGGTGCTTCCTTCTTTAATATCTCAGCTACGCATGTCGAATGAATGCAGATAATTATAATTTAATCCACTTCGATTTGATTTGACGAAATTGTATATTATTTTAGATTGTTATTTCCCTAAGAAGAAACTTTGGTTTCGTCCCCGTATTTTTGATGGGCTACTATAAAAGCATCCCTATAAAAGCATTAAAAAATCGGGAAGAAGCCACAAAGACAACTGGTGTACCAGCATCTCACTATTCAGGCAGTAATGAATTCCAAGACGAGAAGAGAGTTACAGAGTAATATAATTCCCATCACAATCATTTTCAAATAATAGTTTTATTGTTATTTCAAAAGTGCCTAGTTTGCGGCACTATCGTCCCGCTGCACACTCGACAGTCACACCTTATTTTAGTCGCACTATAGTAATTATCCGCTGACCATAACAGAGCTAACACGCACCGTCCAAGGTGTTTGTACATGCGTTCTCGACAGAAGCGCGCTCTCTCTACAGAAGCGCGCTCCCTCTACAGAAGCGCCCTCCCTCTACAGAAGCGCCCTCTCTCTACAGAAGCGCGCTCTCTCTACAGAAGCGCGCTCTCTCTACAGAAGCGCGCTCTCTCTACAGAGACGCTATATACAGATGCGCCACATACAGATGCGCTACAAACAGGGGCGCTACAAACAGGGGCGCACATACAGGGGCGCTACATACGCATTCTCTGCGCGGGCGCTCGCTCGCTTACCTCTGCGTAGAGCCGCACGGCGGAGGGCGAGGTGTCCCAGTCGCGCAGGCCCAGCAGCGCGGCGGACACGTTGAAGGAGAAGCAGCCGTTGATCGCCGCGTCGGTGGCGGAGCCCTGGCGCGCGCCGGCCGCCCGCCACGCCGGCACGCGCGGCTCGGCGCGCGCCGCCACGCGCCCGCGCACGGGCTCCCCGTGCGTGTAGCGCGCGCACACGCGCCACGCCACGTGCGCCGCGTCCGCCAGCACGTAGCGCGGGCCCTCGATCGTCACCGTGAAGCGCGGCAGCACGTACTCGCGCACGGCGAACGACGCCGAGTGCTCCGTCGCGTCGTCGTCCAGGCGCACGCGCACCGTCCACGTTCCCTGCGGCACAAGCGCGCCCTAACGCCCCGCGCCCCTTCACCTGCCCGCGGGGTGCCCAAGTTTCTCCGTCGCCGAGCTCGGTCAACTACGGGGGCATTTACATATTTAAGCGCTCGCTTTGTCATGTTGACAGTTGAGTTTTGCTTATAAATTCCACCGTATGAATGCAGGTAGGATCATAATGGCGGAATGATGATGATAAGATCAAGAATGCCATACTCGATTGCCAAACGTAGGTGAGGGAGGAGAATTATGCTTTTTGTCCTCCCCTTTCGTGGGCAGGTGCTGGCAGTACTAGTTCATCACGCCTTTTGGTGGATAGATGGTGGGAGAGATGATATGAGGAATGAATCATCATAAAAATGAATGGTAATGAGGAATGAATAAGATACCGATTCGAATGAGTCACGGCTTCCTCTGACAAATCCTATGCCTTACTCGGGTCTCTGCGTGCTTGGAAGCTGCACCTAACCCCTCTTTCGCCAAAGTACGCCAAATGTTAAAAAAAGGAAAATTAATTACATCGTGTTTTCTCCAAATTTTGCATTGTCTTTTTGCATAATTCTCCAGTGTTTACATAAGCTCAATAATTTATTATATTGTCATGTAATCTACACAGTATTTTCAATCTTTTGTTGTTTTTGAATTCACAAGGTATTTGATGATGGGCGACAATCATGTTGCTTTTAGAGATCTGCGGACTGAAATAAGAAGTTTGTTTAGTTGCACGATGCTACCCTGTGACTCCACAGGAAACGAACCGCGAGAAAATGAGTGTTCGTGCTGAGGATAGTGAAGAGGGGCGGGGGAAGAGTCATGCGGGGTTGCGTAATCATCGGCCACTTATTTTACGTGGAGTCTCGTTAAAAATATTTCTCCTCTATCTATAGTCTAAAACTTTCCAGGAGTTTTAAATTTTTTCTTCCATTTTCCACACGATTTATTTTCAAGGGAGAGTACTTTGCACTTCCCGCAACAGGCATGATTAGTATTAATAAGGTAAGCAACCTCGAAGTTCATTATTTCATTTCGCAGATCGTTTTTATTTTTCTTTACAAATAAATTGTAGCTTTCTCCTTCCCATAAATAATTGTACTTTATCTGTACAAAACTTGAACGAATACATCTTTAAAGAATTCGAAAATAACTATAACTTTACGAACAACACAACCGTAAGCGGTTGTCACATCAAATAAAATCCTGTGCGTGCATAAAATTGGGAGCGTGCGAGTTGCAATTACGTGTAATAAAGTGACAGGAAGGCCAAGTGGCGGGAGTATCAAAGCAGAGGCTCCCTTGGTATTAAGGACAGAGAGCAATTCACGAAAGCACCCGGATAATGAAACGTCACAAGCAATTTAAAGTGATAAATGTAATTCTCCATTACTGTCTTTTTCTGCAATGACAAAAAGTATACCATTTGCCGAGGCTCTATGTTCAGCAGTTAAGTTATGAAAGTATTGAAAAGCTAAACTCCTATTTTCCGTTGTGTCTGTCATATTATTTCTCAGGTATGATCGTAAAGTGTTCATTCCTAAAAAAATGAAATATCGACTGTAACTTCTGCACCAAAAGAATTCTTAAATAAAACTGAACTGGACAAAATAGACTCCTCTGTTCCAAAGACCTCGCAAAACCTTTTCTTTGGTGTGTTTACAACTCGCCTTTTAGCGATTGCGTCATCAAATTACCGCACCCAACCGGATGCTCTCTTCTTGAAGCCACCAGCTTCCTTCCCAGGAAATCCTTGGAAGGCCGCCACTTTGCTCCGCTTATGTTCTTACGGCAGCTGTTCTAGGTGTTGATTCGGGAGAGGATACCACATCCTCTGACATCATTTCATGACGAATATTAGGTTTATTCTGTCCATTATCGTACGTGTTGCTTTTCTTTAACACCTCTGATGTATCATTTGTTACTTTCAAACATCACGTATAAAAACCGATTCATCGACTGTGATTTCATTGATGATGTAGAATATGAATTAATTAATTCATTCACTCTGTATCTTAATATTAATTTCACTGGTAAAATTGAAAATATTAATTTAACATTTATGATTGAATTACACATCTCTTACATCATAAATTCGACTTACATCTGATGTGAAATATATCCTGAATAAGCAGGTCCCGTGACACTGGGTTATTGCAGCTGCGCACAGCCTCGGACGCCCGGGCTGGGTCACATCCCTTGCATTGCATGGATGTTTTTAAGTTATGTTCGTGGCGTGAGCAGCACTCTTAGTTCTTTCAATATTGCATCTACGCTTTATTTCTCATCTAAATCCAAGGCCTTGTCGTGTTAATTACGGTGGCTGACACTATTAGTATTTTCGGACTACGATGAGACGGTACCAAAGGAGCGCGCCCTCTCTTAACGTGAGAATGTCCAAGCTCTTAGATGGAGCCACGTGTCGCCTAACATTTAAGTTCTAGATCGAGATGACGGAATTATTCCCTCGGCGGGAGGTTTGGGAGATAAAGTGAGTGATCGTGACAGGTAGGCTGACCTAGATGAGCTGTACTTATAACTCATGTAAGTTATCTTAATCGATCAAAATGGAAAGAAAATTCATAAAAACACGGTTCATAATGAAAAAATATGCATACATCAATTACTTGTTTTGTTGTCGAGATCGTTTGGATTAGCCACTCTCAAATTTTGACATCATATTTAGCAACCCTCAAAATCAATTAAAAATTTTCAAACAAAATTCAAAGATTATCTTATAAAAATACGTAATTTTTTTTGAACTCCGTAATCCCTACACCTGTCCTACAGCGTAAGTAATGAAATGATTACAAAGGCTTGCACCGATATTACTTTGTAGACATTATTTTACAATAAAAATTATTCGCTCTCGCGTAATAGAAACGTGTATTTTGACTTATTTTCATCATCAAACGAACAAAAGGTTGATTTTCCAGTAGTGGTAGGGAAAACAACTAAAATCTCGCCGCCTTCAAACATCCAAATACGCACACGTACATCCCTCTCCAAATTAGAACTCAAAAATATCTGCGCAGATCCGTAATGCTTGTTTAGGTTTATCTTCCAACAAGACGGCAGCTGCACAAATTCGGCATTCATCAAGGACCCGAGAGACCGCTCTCCAAAACCCGAGTAGTGTGGGTGGATTGCTTTCTATTGGCCGAGCGCCAAACATTCGGCGCTCACCCTACCCGCTACTTGTCGGCCTTTAGGTCACAGGAAAGGAAGCATACATTCGCCGAGCACCTCGGCTACTCGGGATTGGGCGAGCAGTCGCTCGCTCTTGTGTGTGGTACAACTTTAACGCGGCTCCACACAATCGTTATTCGGCGAGTAGCAAGCAACCGCTCACCGAATCCCAAGTATTGTAGATCAGTTGCTTGCTATCTGCCGAGGGACGAACCTTCAGTGCTCGCCCCACGCGTCGATCTTTAGGACACAACAAAGGGAGCGAACATTTTCCGAACATAGCTGTTCGGGATTGGGTGAGCGGTAGCTTGCTGCTCGGCGAATGCCGAATGTGAGGAGCCGCCTGAAGATCCGATGTACTCGCTTCCTTTTGGCGAACGAATTCAAGAGATTCACCCAACGCGCGCATGCGCTCGGTGTCTCTGTCGCCCTGGAAGACGCTGAACACGTGCTCCGTTCGCTAATGGTCCAGAAGTCGTTCGTCAAAATTAGACGTGTAAATCGGACCTTAAGGGGAGAGGGAACCATGTATACCGCCCATCTTAAATTTGCTACTATTGACGTACCTTTTCTAGAGAATTGTTAACTATAAAATTTTGATATTTCACGCTCTGTTACTATTTGACATATTTTGAGCGATTAAAAAAATTAATATTTTTTCAATAATAATTTGGTCTAAGTTTTCAGCATGTGGACAAACATTTTTTTATTATTAAAGAATATTTATAAAAAATTTCAATTTATTTTCAATATTATAAAGAACGAATCCTGTAAATTTCAATAAATTGCAAAGATAAGTTTCTGAGAGGAGATACATTTCTTACAAAAGAAGTACATTTTCCACAAGCGCCACTTGAAGAGTCTGTACTTGTCACTGCTCGACTACAGCATTTCTGCTCCGTATTTTGGATGATATTTTTCAGTAGACAAGAATAAATGCCACCTTACGCTAATGTACGAACCAGAGCACGTTTCAATAACTCACTAACAACCCAACATGATCTTAAAATTACAATAAAAAAGCCTTACTTGTTGGCGGTGTTAATAAGGGGGCGTGTCTCATGGGCTCTACGACATTTAAATAAGAATGAATGGGACTTCCAAGAGTCCTAGAAGAAACATATTAATACACATGGAAAGAGCAAAGTTTGAGCTCTTTATTTATCAAAAGAAAAAAAGGCGGGTGCGTGGGTGGATGGGCGGGCTGGGCTGCCTCACCTGCGGGGGCTCGGGCGCCAGCTGGAAGTCGAGCTCGACGAGGCCGAGCTGCGACTTGGGGCGCGTCCACTGCGCCAGGCGCACCTCGGCGGGCGACAGCAGCCACGCGGCCGCCACGGCGCCGTCCGCGGGCGTCAGGTCGTGGCGCAGCGTGAGCACTCGCACGCGCACGCGCTGCCCGGGCCGGTAGGCCGCGCGGTCCGTCTGCACGAAGACGAGCAGGGGCTGCGCCTGCACGCGCACCTCCCGCACGGCGCTCACCTGCGCTCGCCGCAAGCAACCTTTTAACCCTTTAATCGCTCACCCACAATCAGCATTGCCTGCTCCTCTAGCAGCTAAGGCAGGAGCTGCAAAGTCAACAACAGAACACCCTCGGAAATGGCATTAAATTTAATATTACGTAGACTAATACGTTAATACATTTAAATTTAATGTGGACTAATACATAATAAATGTACCTTAATGTAATCTTGTACATTAGAAAGAGCTTAATATATTTGTACATTAAATTTAATGCACAAGTTCAAATCAGTGTAGATTTAATGTATAGGTTCCCCCGTTTCGTCCGCCTTTCGTCGTTTGTATCGTGTATTCATAATCACCTGTCCATCAAGATTATTTTTTCATTTTTTCCTAATATTACTATTAAGCTTTGGCTCTTACATTCTAATGTTCATTAAATTTAATGTGCGTTCATGATAAGTACTTTAATGTACATTTCATTAAAGTAATGCGGATATTTCTGATAGTGAAACGTTTTGTGACTTCAAAACTTAGGGGCGGTTCAGAAAAAAAACATGAGATGGTTCAGTTATCTCAGTAAATGAGCGCAATCATTTGAACAGAGACAACTGGGTCATCATGCGACATATTTTTGTGAACCACCGCAACCTCTCCTTTTACTTAAAAACATTAAAGAACTCCCCGACGATTGAACGAAATGGACGGCGCTCGCTCCCTCACGGAGAATACAATGCTGTTAGCAGCTACAAGCCCCTCAATGTCCAGCTGCCCTCCTCTAGCATGCAACAACGTTTCTTCTTGTTTCACATTGGAGCGCCTTGGGAGCATCTTGGAGTCAACCACGAAGCCTACAGGAGGCTCATGCGGAGATCGAAATCTCGGTAACGATTTGCAGCTTATGCACGCTATGACTCGTGAGAGTAATTATACAAATGAAATAAATATTGCAATATTTAAACAACGAAAGTTTCGGACCCATTTGGTACAAGCCGCTAGTGATTAATTATTTGTGTTCGAAGCAATGTTGGAGGGAAAAGATAATATATGTGATCATCACTATTGAATATTCAGTCTAATTAAAACATTCCCTTCAGGTCATGAGCCAGTAACGTATTATTCACGCAAAGATGCATGAAGCCAGTGGGGTCCGGGAAATTAGTGGGAAAACAAATGTTCCCTATAAAAATAGCGTACACGTATCCTGGCTGGAATAGGAAATTATGGGAGGGGAGGATGTCTGGGATAAAGGAATGTTACCCACTTGTGAGAGATTCAGAGGCAAGGTAGGCAGTGCCCACCCTGATGAACACGTTTAATACATTAATAGTTTAACTCGTTTCACACATAATAAAATTTAAATGACTCTTTCAGCTTTAGTAAGTATTTTTCATCTTGAAATATAAATTGAACATTTCATTGTTGAGGGACGAGCTGTACCCTCAGTTGAAGCGTTTCATAACAAAAGCCCGCGCGATGCGTCTCGTCTACTTTTCGTTCGCGCATTTGTGCTTCGCGCGCTTCTCTGGATAGGCACGTTTGAGGGTTGCCTCGCTTCGCACTTTATCCTGAGAAATGGTCCCGTAATGAACGTACAACAGTAGAGCACACGGCGCACGCTCGCTCTACTAGAACAAGCAAATTACTGTACGATACTACCTGCCCTCACGGAAGACTTCGTTTACCAGTCACTTCAGGAGCGTGGCTCTTATATTTAATTACCAAGATAACGGAGTGGGAAAGTCATTATTTACCAAGTATTTATTACTCAATTTATTTTTAAATTAGAATGCTGAGGATTATTTGTGTGTGTTTCTTCATCTCTTTTATATTTAAAAGTTTTTATTAAGTATTATCGATATAGAAGATGAACCATTCCCTCGACTAAATATATAAATGGACGTTGCTTTGTTTAAGATGGATAAACTCCGACACCGTGAGGCCGAGCTCCACGCGTTGCTGTGTGTCGCGGGGCGGGGTAGAGCAGGTCAAGGCGGAAGGGCATGGGAGGGGCGATTGCGGCTCGAGAACATCAGGTCGCACCATCGCTGGCGGCGGGGCATGATTCTGCTAGTGATGTATATAAATGATGAAAATTTTGAATAATTGGCGACCTATTCCTATATTGCATACGGTTGTATATCGCGCTGGTCAGAAAAATGCAACAACTTTTTTGTAATACCCGGTCCAGATAGTATTTCAAGAGGCCAGTTCCACTTGGGATCGTCCATAAATCTGTACAAGAAAAATGACGGTTTGGCAATGTAAATTTTTTCTTCAAATGGCGTCCGTTCGAGTTTAAACGCAATACTCCTTTAAAATGTGATGAGATCAATACGTGACAATTATTTTGAAGAAATTAATAAAATTACAACAAACTATTGGATCCAAGAGATCACGATTTCCTCGCCCCTTTCCCGCCGCGAGAAATTCGCCATGTTTCGTTATATTTTCCCTACACTTTTTTCCCCCGAGCCTCCACTGCGAAGACTTCCGAAGGTCTGAGACACGAATGCGTTAACATACGATGAACGCATTCAAAAGGAAATGTGCTGAGAGGCTAGACTGCGGCAACCTGCTGCCTGCGATGCACTACAAACAGCCCTATCTAACAGGCTGCTTGCTGATAAGGGATTGCTTGCGCTCTATTGTTTTCACACCCTAGACCCTGATACTTTAGTTCCGAAACCCAAGGTAGTGTTTTCTTCCACGCATTTCCCGCGAGTATAGATCAATATTAGTCCGCGTGGCTAGCTGTTGGTCAGCGTGCTCGCTTCCCACTACGCGGCCACGCGTTCGATTCCCGATGAGGCGATTCCCGATATGGTGTGCGTTTTCCTTGTAATGTTCCTGTATACTTTCCGGTGTTGATACGGCGTGTCTGCGTGCTAACCACGCATACCACCTTAACCCACAGCCGCGATGCAGGGACGTCGCCGGTAGGCCTGAGCCCGGTCACGGGCTGTCGCGCCAAGTACATTCATACATACATACATAGATCAATATTTAACGCGTGAGTTAGCGCAATTTGATTTACTGATGAAATTACATTGAAAATAATATCACACAGGGCAGTTAAGTCGCGAAATTTGTGCACTTTTTCCTTGTGCCTCTTTGTCGATTGGCATTGTTGTTAATTCACAATTGTGTCGTTTGGCCATTTGCTCGAAGAACGAATAAGGCATGATGTCCCAGGGGATTGGTATTATACTAGCAAAAACGATTAGACCTTTACTCTGTCATCCGGTGCATTCGCCTTCTACTAGTGTGCTTTCAATAATTCGTGAATAAAGAGTGTCTGATGCACGGATATCCCCCCCCTCCCAAATAATGAACAAATGTCATCGTTACATTCCGAAGAAAATCATTGAGAAGACTGAAAATATGTTTATGTTATATAGGTTTTTACTTAGCAGTCTAGAAAAATGCATCATTACATGAAGCTTTGCCCTTGAACTCTATTTCTTAAATAGTTGCGGATGAATATCTTGTGATATATTCTTCAACTTTCGCAACTCAACTGCTCATATCGACATCACATTAAGAGAATTTTACAAAAATTGAATTATTTCTTCAAGTTTGTGTGTCTCGACAAGTATGTCTATCTGGATGGAAACTGCATCAAAATAAAAACGGAGCAACTATAGTAAAGATTTAGTTTCAATTACATTTTTTCATTCCACAGCTTTTTATTGTTTATTATCAGCTAGTAACAAAGAAAGCTATTTATCGTTAAAATTAGTAATTTGATATGACCAGTAGTTACTCTGAATTTTTATCATCTTTGTTGAAACATTCTGCAAAAGTACTGCGTGTAAATAAAATTAAGAAAACAAGAATAAAGAAAACCTGAATGCTTGGAATCAAATTCCCCGAGAAATTAAACATTCACTCATTACAATGCAAGACATGAAAACAAAATGTTAACACATTCGAGGCATCAACTGTAATGTCTGCAGACATTGAGGCAAAAAGCTCTTACGTGCCAATCCAACGTGCGCGTGGCATGCCAAACGAGCCCGGAACGGGCCACATGTGGCGGTTTACGACGCTCTCGGAAGGGACAATAAGCGGAAACTCGTCGGATCGAGGCCAACCGTTAGGTCGCACTTCCTGCGTCCAGCGCGGACGTCATCTGCTCGCTCAGGAGGAGGCGCCGACTACACAGCGACTTACAAGAGGATGCAAGCGGTACGTTCCCATGAATGCCACCAAATTGAAAGTAATTAATTTCTGTTTCAAAATTCAATATTTCATGAAAATGAATCACTGTGAAGATTTGAGCAAACTTCTACCATTGAATAATACAAAATATAATAATAATAATAATAATAATAATAAGAAGAAGAAGAAGAAGAATAACAACAACAACAATAATAATCATAATAATAATAATAATAATAATAATAATAATAATAATATTGAACACTCATGATTTAACAAAAGTTGGTTGTGATTACCTACAAAGCTGGATTTCAGATTTCAATTATTGAAAAGGGTTGAGAATAACGTTTAAGTAAACAAATTTGGAGTGTCCATGTGAAAAACAGGACTGTTCAAATAAAACCAAGTATCATACGTCCTTATGGACTAATATACACGAATATTAAAAAAACTCTAGAAAAAATATGAAATCCAACCCACAACACAAAGCTAATTGAAGTCTCTCGAAAAAAAAGTATTCCAGCCTATATTTTCGACAAATAAGGACTGTACAAACAAACAAAGCCTTATGGTCCAATATAGACCCTATATAGACAATATCCTACCCAAAGTTTACATTTTATTATAAGCTCCAAGACAAATTCTTGTAGACCTTATTTGCCAAAAATTGAGGTTGTACAAAGAAATACACTTAACGTACGTCCCCATAGTCTAATATACACGAAACCTCAAACGATACCATACCCAAAATTTAGAGAGAATTTAAGGCAAAAAATTAAGTCTCTACAGAAAAATTTATTCCGACCTCTATTTTAGAAAATTCTGATTTTTATGAAGTACGGTATGTAACATATGTCCTTACGGGCTATTATAAAAATAGCTCTAAAATGGGGAATGCTCGGCGAAATGAAACGTTTCCCCTTTATAATATCTAATATTAATTGCCAAGAATTACTCAGAATTGTAAATAAAGTGCGGAACATTAGATGTTGAAAACATCCAAGCTACAGGAATCAATCTGGTTGAAAAGTGGCTTTGAAATTTGGGATACATCTTAGAATTTCGACCACCAGGGATGCATGCCTATTAGATATAGAATACGGGTGTAGACAAGTTAGAAAATTTTCTATATTCACTCAGGAAAAAGAGAAAATCTCCAAACATTCTTTCATGTCGTTCAGTTTTAATACTCTAAGACTAATGATACGAGGGATTTTCAAAATTTGGATCGCCATTCGTTGTGAAGATAAAGTTGAACCCATTTCTGAAAATTTTATGAAAACATTTTATATTTATTCCACAAGAGCAAAAAATTGGAGAATAGAGCACTTCATTAGGCTAAAATTAGTCTTTAATTGAATCGTTTATTTCAGAAACGCGTGAAACGCCAAATTCCTCATTTCAAGAAAACTGACAAAAAGCCTCCCACATTTTCTGATTTTAAAATATTTTTATATGATAAATGAGGTCATATCCTCCTGATGCAATAATTCGCCGCCAATGCGTGTTTTAGATTTGACTGGTTTCCGAAACAAACGATTGATTTTTGTAGCGAGCGTGGGTTGTGGGCGCGGGCGGGCCGCTGCTACTCACGACGTAGTCGTAGGCGTGGTCGAAGCGCGCCTGCACCAGGAGGCGCGCGCGCGCGGGCGGCGGCTGCGCGGCCGGGGCGGCGGGCACGGCCAGCGGCACGCACGCGGCCTCCTCGGCCAGCACGCGGTGCGACGCCGCCGCCAGCCGCTCGTCCGAGTCGGCGCGCAGCACGTGCAGCTGCACGTGCGCCGGCCCCGACACGTTGAAGAAGGCCAGGCACACGCGCTCCGTCGAGCCGGCCAGCATCCGCTTGGGCGCCGCGATCAGGAAGCCCCTGCGCACGCCACGCCACACTTGGCATTGCAAGGCGTTTGGGGCGGGGTGTACAACTTCCTCTACACTTGCCGGCTACAAAACCAAAGCCACTCGCTTCTTTTTTTCCTTTTTTTTCGTTATTTAAGGTCGCATCAACTACTAGGTCATTAGCGATCACCATTGCTTGTAACGGTATGATAACTGTGTGAGGGTGACACGATGATGATGATAGGGGTTCTTTGATGATAGAAAACATAATATTCTTCTAGCAAACAGTAAAATATCTAAACTAATATCCCATTCACATCATTAAGCATAAGATTTAAATAACTAGCAGCACGGCACAAACAATGCATTGTCAACTTCATCTACGCTTGTTCTGAACGCCGTTTCCTCTCACAACTGCTACGCCATTATCTGCTTATCTTTATATTTAGACAAATCAGCGCCTTGTTATTTTATGTTTTTGACAATATCAAAATGCCTCCCTCCGTGCTGATTGATCTTTGACTTTCTTAAATCCTGTGAAAGATTCGTTAATTTTTATTTTAATCGGTTTCACGGAATCATTTTCTCGATGGTTACATACTGTAAAATTAGACTTGATTTGTCAACTTTTGATACGTCAGACGTTGTAGCCATTATAATATACTAGTATTGCTACAACAACACATACTTTCCTGAATTATTTCTGAATTTGCAATTTTCGAAAATTCAGAGAATTCAACGGAAACCAGGCCCTCGCCATTCTTTTAAGCGCCCCCTCTTCTATTCGAGGGAAAAGGGAATTTTAGAGCGTTAATTGAGAAAATTATTTTTAGAAATTGTACAAATCATACGAAAACTACTCGTTTTTTTCAAAACATTGTACATGACCCTTTTTAAAGTTTATTTTTTAGGACAGACATTGTTCAAGGCAAAAATCGCTATCAATTGTGTAGTTTTGACCGTGTTAACTTTTTGCAATTTTTGATAATACGAAGAGTTCATCGATAATGGAACAAGCACCATATTTTTATCGTCACTAGATATATACGAGAAGAAATTTTAAAGAAAAAATTAAGAGCTGTTTTTGAGAAAAAAAATTAACAAACATTAGTTGCCTATATTTCACGCAAAATTAGATGAAAACTACTACTACTTTCGAAAAATTAAACACAGTCCTATTTAAAAATCAGTTTTAAAAAAACAGATTTCATTTTTCAGCTCTGCTACCCGAGGATAAAGTTTAATCAAACAATTAAAAGCAATATCGAGAAATTTTGAAAATGAGTTTGGTGCTTCTTATAAAGTATCCCTAAAATTCAAAATCTCCTGTCTAAACTCCCACAGCCTCGAGTTTGTTCACATCGATCGGGGAATATCAATTATGGAGAAAATCAACTGAGCTGTTTGGGTAAGCGTTCTCCAGAGGCGGACAGGCGGAAAGATCGCGAGCGCCCCGTCGCCCGTTTTTTAAGAATACTGCTCCGGCATTCGCCTGGTATTAATCAGAGAAACCACGGAAAACTACCGATCACAGCTGCCGGGAACTAGAATTATTATCCAGATGGCGGTTTAATTTGACCCAACTAGCTGTAACTATTGCCGAAAAGTCACCACCGTCGGATCTCGAATTATTGGACCTCCCTATCAACAATGCTGCAGCAGCAACGGGCGTTGTCAGTGAGCCATCGCAGCCGCTTTAGATACATCAGTTTTGGGAAATGTTACATAATGTCAGTTCAATCTTAAATGTTATGTGAACACATGCCGAGCTCCCCGTAAAATTGCCTATTGAGCCTTAAATAAAGTTATAAGAAATTTTCAAATGTCGAGCCCCCCCTCCTTCGATGTATCAGATTTCGTTAAGGGCTTTAGCCTTAACCTAAGGGCAGGCGCCACTATACACACCACAGACTTGCACGTTTATTTTTCTCAAGTTGCATCTTAATGTTGCTTCTAACACGAACTTGTTTAAATTATTATTAATAATATTGAAATGTTCCAGGAATATCTACATTGTAAGTACCGTTTATCTATTAAACAAAATCAAATGTTCATAAAAAAATTTCATTGTAGTAAAAGACAATGCACAATGCAGCTAAAAGTTGTTTTATCTAAAATGCAATTATTAAAACATTTCCCAATTAATTTTCATAGTTAATGAGATATTTGTCTACGCGAGACACCAGATTTTGAATGCCTCTTTCACAGAACGTTCCCTCATGTAATGCAAACCACGCCAGATTTGCACTCGTCACCTCGTTGTTGAACTACTGACCACAAATAAATTATTTTAGGATGAGAAATATATGAAAATCTGGGATGTATGGGAGATGGTGAAACTGCACCCAGCCGAAATCCTGACGTTTTTGCTATTTAGCTTTAGAGGAGGACGCGGAAAAAAGGCAAAGTGCAAGGGATTAATATAAAGTAAATGTTAATACATAAAAATAGGTGTGTATGTGAGTGGGGGGAGAGAGAGAGCGATATAAAGCGCGAGAGGGAGAGAAAGGAAGAGTGAGGGAGAGAGAGAGCAGTGAGAGGGAGGGAGAGAGAGGAAGAGAGAGGGAATGTGAGTGAGAAAGAGAAGTGAGAGGGAGGGAGAGAGGGAATGTGAGTGAGAAAGAGAAGTGTGTGTGTGTGTGTGTGTGTGTGTGAGAGAGAGAGAGAGAGAGA